TCAGGCCACTGCACCTCTGAGTAAATGCTGAAAAATGGCTGCAGGAGGAAATGTAAAAAAAATATATAGATACTGATAGCATTTAGAACCTTGGTGTTTGGTTTGATAGTAATTTAAATTTCGAGCAGCACACCACAAAGCTTGTTCAATCATGTTTTTATCAAATTAGAAATATAGCAAAAATTCGATCTATGTTAACTTTTAAGGACACTGAGACCATTTTAAACGCCTTCATCTCATCACGCCTGGATTATTGCAACAGCCTTTTCACCTGTTTAACCCAAAAATCTATTGATTGACTCCAGACTGGGGACAGAGCGTTTGCTGTCAGGGCCCCGAGGCTCTGGAACAGCCTGCCCGAGGAAATCAGGTCAGCTGAGTCAGTGAACTCTTTTAAGTCCCTTCTTAAAACATACTTTTATAGGAGAGCCTTTCCCGATCTTATTTGACTTTATTTTATCCCTTTTATTTTATTGTATTTTACTAATTTTATATTAATTTTTCATGCTCTTATCTTGTTTTGTTTTTTTTGTATTATTCTTTACACTTCTTAAAGCACTTTGTAACTTGTTTTTGAAAAGTGCTCTACAAATAAGGATTATTATTATTATTATTATTATTGCCCAAACATAACTTGAGGGACTAATAGTGGGCAAGGAAATAGCTCTTGGTACCTTCTTGCAGTCAGCAGGGATGAGTTCCTCTGGTAGATACGGTCTGCTGGCATATTTATTCCTAAATCCCAAAGCAGCTACCATCAACGTCTGTAAAATGACATGATAACAGAGGGACTGAGCAATGGAGAAGAACCAAACTGTGTACATTTATCCCAGCAAATAACAGCATTTTAAATTACAAGGGACCTAAATAATTTCTATAGAAACAGGAATACTTAATGTTTACACCTTGTAAGTGCTGATGGTGAACCTTGTCCTTTGTCGGACTCTCTCCGCGGGCTGCAGAGGGTGTCCGGAGGGGTCTGCGGGTTTTAGCAGCATGAATTCACAGCCACACGGTGACACTTGTATCTGAGCTCCGTTTCCGTAACGAATATCCACCGACTCATCCTCATACATGATCATCAAACTGACACTGGTTTCCATCGGTACACCTGCACACGGGATCCACCTTTCGCGGGTTGAAGACGCGCTGAAAACTCAAAACACGGACACGCGTCGGTCAACGTCATCAGGTGGAGACGTTTGTTATTGGCGCGCTCGCCGAGAGGGGAGAGGGAGCGAGCCGGACCGGAAGTGACATGTTGAGGTGTTTGTTTTGTTATTTAATTGTTTAACTCAGTGTTTAGCACATTAAACAAACACAGTGCAGAGCAATAAGCAGGCAAATGCTTTTTAACTACTTGACTCTAATAACATTTTAACAAACAGCGAGATTGGTCAACTCTTTAAATTACAACCGCCATCCCCTAAATTCAGATTTGCTCTGTCCAAATGGCTTTAGGGTCATTTTAAGAGCCTGTAGTTCCCTGAGTGTTTTTTTTTCTCGCTTGCTCCTGCAGCAGATTTCTAGCATTAGATATAGTGGACATGGACAGCCATAACGTAATAGGCCTACAGCCAGTATTGGCTGTATTAAGAGAGCCAGTAATGGCTGTAGCGACCAGAGTTTTGAGGGGACAAGGGACAAAGTTGCAATAATTACATTGAAGTTGAGTCACTATGAATTAAAACATAGGCGGGCACTAGGAAACACCTGAATGTAAAGCATGCTTTATCCAATGCAGCAATTATATTGAAGATTATTATTTATTTGGACTTTTTTTATTTTACATTTTATTATTATTAAATCTAGTTTAAATGGATTTGCTATAACTGCATTTATATTAATGTGTTGGATTAGCATCATCAGAGTGTATAAAGAACACACAGACATCTACATATCTTAAATCAGTTTAATTTCTAAACTACCAAACTACTAAACCTCTCACCCCCATTTTCCCGGGATTATCCCTTATTTTACCGTTATTCCATCCCGTTTAAATATTTTCCGTAAATCTCCCGTATTTTCAACCTTTCTAAAAAAAAAAAATGAAGGGTATATTTAAATGTTTGTTACGCTCCCATCAGGTAACGCAGGTGGCAGTATAGAACAGAGGAAGAAGAACAGCAGCGAGGGGTTCAGGTTTGATGATGCATGCTCTGCAGAGTTTCACTCGGATATATTGCCCTAAAAATAGATGCGTGCGAACAAAGATGCAAGTTAGTACTATTGACAGGTTAGTACTTAACCATAGGTGTCATTTACACAAGGGGACACAGGGGACCACTTTTTGAATGATGAGAATGCTTTGAGAAAGGTTTATTTGCACAATAAGAAACATGCAATGCAATGTAAATATCTAAGAAACAAATGTGCAAGTTAAGCTAAAAAAAAAACCAACTTGCTGATCTCTACATTAAATTACATTATATTTTTATATTTTGTAGTGTAAAAGAGATTTCAACCATAACTTTTTTTTTTAAAAGAATGCAGGAAATTAAGTGTTTCATGCTCAAAATCTTCTGGGGGAGGGGGAGTGCCGCCAGACCGCTCATTTCGCATATCATAGTCGTGAATATTAATTCTAATATCTTCTTGTTTTGTTCACATATCGGGAGCAAGTTTATCACTGCGCCCCTAATCTGAGCCCTTAAATGTCCCCACCATTTTCCAGCACAAATCCATTAGAGACCAATTTAGACTGCTTCTTGCACAAGGATTTAATAAACAAAAACTGAAACTGCTTCCCTTATTATTTCCCTTATTTTCAAATCCCCATGTGGATAGTTATGCATCTCTGTCCTCCTAAATATTACATACTGGACCTCAAATGGGGGAGACGGGTGTCGATGACTGGGAAACAAACTACACTCAATTCTACATATGACCTGTGGGGGGCAGCAATACATTGTCGCTGCGTGCAGGCAGGCTGTGGGGTATTTCTTTCAGAGAGGAGAAGAAGAAGAAGAGTCAGCAGAGGAGCTCGACCCCGATGCTTTCATCACATAGAGACCTACGATAGAGACGCATTCAGGCAGTTCAGCTAAATAAGTGACACTCCTTATGGCAATGGTTACTTCGCCAATCTGCTTTTTCACAGTAGACACGCCGGAGCTGCAATGAAGGTGCCATTTTCTTTCCATAACCTCTGCTCCAGTTTGCTTAGAGTCGATATGAGCAGCTAACGTTAGCTCGTGAAAGCTTCATGTCGCTGTAGCGCGGAGCGGGCGTTATGTTACGTAGCCTGAGCCAGCTGAACTAAGCTAATAGTCAAAACGGTCGGATAGGCAGCAACTCTGACAGCTGTCACTAAACATCGACTTGACAGTAAATGTTAAACATGGCATTCTTTACGTACATGTTTTTTTTTGAACGTTTGTTTAGTTATTCTGATTTCTCGCAGTTGCATGTTTGAAATGTTATAGTTTAAGTCGCTTAATTGTCTGCTTGTGTTGTGGCTGTGTTTGGACACTTCTAACATTAACTTAGCTGCTTGCTCTTCGTGTCCGCATGGTTTATGTTTTATTGTGTTTAGTAATCTCTCTTCTGTAATAGGTTGCCTCTATACCATGTTCATACATGATGCTGTTAAGAGATGCACCTATTCACGTTTGATATGCTGTCACTATCTGTAACATCCACCAGATCAAAAGGAAATTTAAAACTGAAATAAAGGTGTTTTGTGATTGTCAGGCAGGGGCCTCGTCCATGTGGGCTTCATGCTGTGGTCTGCTGAATGAAGTCATGGGTACTGGGGCCGTCAGAGGCCAGCAGCCAGGGTTTGGGGCCGGTGCTGGACCCTTCAGATTTGCCCCCAGTGCAGGATACTCCACATACCCGCCCACCAGCTCAGGGAGTCCCAGTGTTGTATGCAAGGCTTGTGGTCAGGCCTTCTCAGTCTTTAGGAGGAAGGTAGGTATCTGGATGCTCTTTGTGATGCCAGTACGTGCTAATTGGTCTGACTTAACCCGAAGGGAAAGGTGCATGTGTGGAAGCAGAGGGGGATATTAGATGAATAATTTAGACAGAGGTACTAATTACTTGCTGTACGTCTCTGTGGAAAACTAGTCATCTAGTTGTTGGCATGTAGCTAGGAGTGCATGTTTTTATGCTCATTTGTAATGGGTCTTCATATTTTTAAAGTTGTCTGGCCAATGGGCTTAACATGTAAAAGAAGATAAATAAGTCTGTATGAGCATAAGACACTAATAATTAGCTAAAAACATTTTTAAAAAATCATTTGTAAGTCATGGCTACAAATAAAATGCTCAAATTGTAAAGCACCTTTTATAGAGCAGAGCATAGCTGACCACTGAGCTGAAATAATGTGTGCGGACAAAAAAGGCACAAGCTAATTTAATTTACACCCAGGGGCTACTAATTTCTCTTGTAATTTCTTGTGCCCTTCTAGCTGATTGCAGAAACAGATGGACAACATACTGTAATATCGTCTTCACCGAGTGCTCATGTTCATGTATTGCTCAGGGTCTCATTCTCTCTGAACCCTGTGCTTCGCTTGCTCACCGTGCCAATCGAATCCCACATCTTGCATTTATTACTGTTTGATGTTTGTCACTTAAAATAAATGAGCTGCCTTCTGTCTCTGTGCCTGGAGAGGTAGAGCAGATGTGAGTGATTGAAAAATGTAGGAAAGGTGTAATGGCATTGATATGCTATTGAAGTTTTAAGTCATATCGCAAGTTGATGTTGAAATATTAAAATAAGGGTTAAAATCAAAACATTTGACCACATTTTGATTTCAAATGCTGTGTTCTTTTATTGTTCTGGCTATAATATATGTTAGAAGTTGTCCATCATGATGTTTTTCTTCACTCTGTTTCTGCAGTATATTTGCTGCGACTGCAAGAAGAGCTTCTGCTCTTTGTGCTCCGTGCTTCAGGAGAATCTGCGCATTTGTGCCACATGTCATTTGCTGAAGGCAACAGCCTTTCAGCGGCCGCGGCTCATGCGCCTACGAGTCAAGGATCTGCGTCAGTACTTGCTGCTCCGTAACATCCCCACTGATACCTGCAGGGAAAAAGAAGACCTGGTGGACTTGGTGCTCTGCCACCAAGGCATTGAGGAAGAGGAGGACCCCGACACCGGCAGTCTCCGCTCTCGTTCCATGTATACCCCGACCCCTACCACACAGTCTGCCTCAGAGCTGTCTACTCTGGTCGCCTCTCAGGAGGAGCCGCTCAGCAGGAGTGATAGCTCTGATACCAACCAGGTCAGGACCAGCTTTGAACCATGTATGATCTTTAATAAGACCATACGTCAGCCATGTCTTTTTATTAATTGCCAAAGCACAGAAGTAAGTCTGCCAGCCTCTCAGTTTTGAAGCGAGTCATCACATGGCCCTTCCTGTTTGTTCTTAAAACTAACGGCAAAAATAATTAACCTGACTAGTAAAGGTTTGGATTTTCATTAATGGTGGCTAGTTGGCACAAAGCTTGAAAGGGTTCACACGAGTGTTTTTCCACAGGTTCGTTCACGTCATCACTTCAGGCTCTTTGCTGATCTCCCACAAGTGTAATCTTTATAAACGGATATCTGCATGTGAATTCAGAATATGTAGGCAAAGGAGAAGATTTTGGTATTGAAAGCATTTGATTTCCATTGGTAGAGTAGTATTGACCAATCAAATCTGAGCTGGCTTTTGTTGCATGCAGGTAAACCATGTGGAGAGCAAAAGCATTGGCTGAGGGGTTCAGATATTGCCAAAGATGAGTCTGTGTGAACCACTTGACATGTCACCAAAGACAAATATAGAATTATTATATATTATAATTATTGTTCATCTTTTCATCCTGGCTTTACTACAATTTGTAAACCATCTAAAAAGAAACTGGTCAGGATTTTACATGGCAGAGAGGCAAAAAGTAATGGAGAGAACAAGAAGCGCCACAACTGGCACTAAAAAGGGAGCTCAACTCCAAGCAGCCAGGATCCACTATAAATACTTGTACCAGGCCTGCTTAGGGAGCTTTAAGCTTTTCTATCAATGGAAGGTACAAGACATTGTTGTTCTCAAGGTATCAGTAGACTGTCTGCAGAGTGTCTAATCCTAATCCTCAGTTAACTGGCTTGTTCTTTGGCATGTTGTACACACTGATGTTTGTTATTGCTGCTGTTGTGTTGCAGGATATAGGTGATGCCACATCTGAGTCTCTCCTCAACTTGGACCCCAGTGAAACCACTCCTGAGGTGATCTGTGACAGATGAATGTCCCTATGTCCCTCATATTATAGTAATCAATAAATTAAAATTTAAATCCAAGTGCTTTTTTTGCACAAAAGAAGCTGTAATGAACCCCTTTATTCTTTCTATAAAACACAACACATGGAGGATTCTGGGAAATATCAGCTGTATTTTAATCTAACCTTTATACTTACATTTTGAATGAACCTGAGTAAAATGTTTGTCACTGTGTGTCATGAGGCTGCCTCTTAAATAATCAAATATTAAGGTAATTTAAAGACACAAAGTTTCTCATGGGAATCTCAACTTCCAATTAGATTTTTGTCACTGATGTCTTGATTCCTGCTCCTCTAGGTCAGTCCTCAGACACGACGTCGGGCCCGAGCGTCTCTCTCAGACATCTCCAGCTTGAGGGACATCGAGGGCCTCTCTGTGAGGCAGCTAAAGGAGATCCTGGCCAGGAACTTTGTCAACTATTCAGGTTGCTGTGAGAAGTGGGAGCTGGTGGAGCGTGTCGGCAGACTTTACAGAGAGAAGGAGGAGAACAGGAAATCATGTGGGTATTAACTTTGTCTCACTGAGAAATTATTGTCTGCTTTAGTTTATCAGTTGTTGGGTATAAAAATGTCCTAATTAATTAGATGTACTATAGAATGTGTGTACTGAACACAGGCAATTATTTATTTATATATAATTTGCTTTGTATAATAAGTTGCTATGGTAACTTTAATTTCTTTTCTTGCAGTGGAAAATGTGAGCAGTACTGTAACCACAGGTAAGCTGTCACTCATCTGTCTGCATCCTAGATGTCAGTATAGGACACCACATCCTGTTTTTAACCATAAAAATCTGATATCTCTGCTGCTTCTGACAATATTATTTACTGTAAGTAATAATAAGTTGCACCGATCACAAGCAGAGTCATTGAAATGAGTCTTCTCATTCAGAATTATGATGAAATGTCTCTTGCTTGCTTTACTTCTCCCACACTAAAGTGGTGGCCTTCCCCCCTCCCATCTGCAACGGTGCCATCGGAGGTAAGGCTTATAGATTCCTCGCCACTGTTGCTGCGGTCACATGTACCATCTGTGACTCACCTCTCCATCGTCCATCTCCCAACAGTTTCACCACCACATCTATATTCACCGTGAACCCATTTTCATTCGTTATCTCACTTTCCTCTTTGTAAAGTCGCTATATCTGGTCCTCCTTGTGGATTGGCATTTTCTGTGAGGGTCTCTGGCTGTTTTGTTGAGGCTGAAAATAAATATTTATTTATCCCACTTAGGAAAAGAAATGTAAACATGTCAGTTTCATTTGTCATTTTCCAGGAACGTTCATCCACCCCAAGATCAATCTTCCTTTATCCATTCATGTGTTCAGCGTGTGAAGCTTATTATACTGAGAACTGCAGTATGCTAGCCGTGGATATTCACTCTCTTACAAGCACGGTTCCAGTGATAAAGACTGTGCGGTTGTCATAGAGACATCTTGACAAATAGCCATAACAGGCATTGATATTTTCGAGGAGATTGCGAGCATGACCTTACCAAGATATGGCACACTGGATAAGACGAGGTATTTTATTAAGTGGTGCAGTATGTCACCTCTCTGTTTCTGTGTCCTTCTCTTGTAGATCGTGAGAAGGGTCCGCTGACGATCCAAGACGACAACCTTTGCAGGATCTGCATGGACGCCATGATCGACTGCGTTCTCCTGGAGTGCGGTCACATGGTCACCTGCACCAAGTGCGGCAAGAGGATGAACGAGTGCCCGATCTGCAGGCAGTACGTCGTGAGGGCCGTGCACGTCTTCAAGTCCTAGTACATCACTGCAGCCCCTGCTTCAGAGCAGCAGCTCAGACTGAGACTGTACCTTAATGAACCATGCAGCTCATAACTTATGAACCCCCCCCCCCCCAAAAAAAACAACAATTTTGTGGATGTTCCATGTTTGCATCCCCTAAATTCTCACATTATTTGCACAGGGGGAATATTATGAGAAATGTGGACTTCTTAAGAATTTGACTCAGTTTCAGTAATGGGCAGAGCGTAGGATCATACCATCCTATGAGTCAATCCTCAAGGAAACGTATTTTAAATCTGTGTTCATTCCTAAGTGTCTGTTTTTCTTGTCTCACAATGTTTTCAAAGCAAAGAATGTGTGGCACTCAGCCACGTGCAGTCTTGTTCCACACAACTCACCCTCAGATCTGCCTATAAACTGTAGCTGGCACTCAGCTCTGCTGAGTATTCTTAAGAGCACCTCTCTTTACAACTGCTGCAAGTGACTTACATATCTTAGTAACACAGAAGACAGACACATACTGAAACTCGCCACAGTAGAGAGGGGGTGAGTGAAACAGGTGCCAAATAATGGGTCATGCCCCCATGCGTCTCACCCATTTTTCCCCTCAACTGTGTGAGCCAGTGTGTGGCTGAACAGAAAGCACTTTGTTCACAGTTCACCACTGCAAACTTTGTCCAGTAACAGTGGCTGAGGTAGGAAGTGTACTAATTCTTAAATACTTGTCCCAACTTAAGCTTGACTGAGGGAGTTTGAAGGGCCACTAAGTTTGTTTAGGTTGGTGGAAAAAGCTAATGGGGAATCACTGAGCTTGATTTCTGTTTAAATGAAACTTGGTGTTACTTAGCCCACAAGTGAGCAGGTGCGTGATATTGATGAAGTCAATCAATGCATTATCAACTTTATTACATTCACCTCTTTTGTTATAGAAGCGCTTATTGCAATGCATTACACATTGAAATGGTCACACAAAGTCTGTCATTACAGCAATAGCTAACCTCCTCTATCACCTCTGTCCTGTCTCAGCACTTTAGTGGAGACAAAAGACAAAAAACGGTGCTAACTCATCCAACCATCTTCCCTGAATTCCAGCTGAACTGTGGATGTGAAACTGAATGTTTTTAATTTTTGTTGTTGTATATTGGGAGTGGACTGAAGTGTCTTACTGCGTTTTAGTTGATTTTCTCTCACGTAGGACTAATGTATTGAACTATCTATTCAAAGATATAGTTATGAGTTTATTGACACCTGTGGTATAGAAAGTATATAGAAATAATGACTTGCTAATGTAAATTTGCATATATTGATCAATATGAGATGTATATATCTATATATTTTTTTCTATTTGATTTAAATTGTGTAATATCAGATTATTGAAATGTCCCTGGGATTGGATTAGTTATTACATAAACATTACATTTTCCTGTCAGGTGGTTTAAAGTGTGTTTAATCTGCATAGGTTTGCTTGAACTACCTATCCCTCTTGAAGTAGAGCATGACAAGAACCTGAATGACACTGGTAAAGTTATGTTAATTTTCTTTTCCCATTAATCTAGCTCATTAAGAATTATCCAGCTCTGCACTGTACCCACACAAAGTCAACATTGCTGCTATTAGAGTAAAGCTGTCCCCAACAATCCTTACCGGGAGCAGAGCAGGTTGCACTTTTCCTTTTAGAGAGGGCGTAATTGTGTGCAATTTGGTCTTTGTATTTGGGATTGTTGAACTTTTTATTTTGGTAATTAAAGATTTTAATTAAAGTCTGTTTTTGTATACTCATGCACAAGCGACGTCCCTGTACTATCTTGGATAAAGTAATGATTAGTGTTCAAATGATTAGTCGATTAATTGATGAACACAATATTTTCATAATTGAGTAATCGTTTTAAGTAATTTTTAAGGCACGCCAAACATGGACTGGTTTTAGCGTGTCTTGCAGGGGTTCTGTTTTATATCATTGTATGTAGGGATTTTTACAAGATAAACTATATTAAAGGGATGCATACAATTGAATCTCCCTGCATTTGTTTTGGTTGTATTAGATAATGATGTTGCCCTAAATTACATTATTCACATTGTGAGAATCAAAATGTATCATTGAAAGGATTAAAACAAAAGACGACGTTTTTTTCAGATTTTTCCGCTTTTTTGTTGTTCTTTTTGATATATTCACCTCATAAGGCCTCTAAAAAGTCTTAAAATGAAACGAGTACAGCCACACTAGCAGCTTAGCGAGGCTGTACTTGGTTGGAGCTTTACATGCTAACATCAGTGTGCTCACATGCTGATGTTAACCATGTTAACTATTTTAATTCAGAGCTAAACACAATGTACTGATGGGAACGTCACTAGTTTTGCAGAGATTTTGTCAGGCATTGTCTAAAGTGAATTGTTGACCCGATGATGCATTTATGTTAGAAGCTAGATCACCAAAAGTTATTCTTTTCATCCCGAGGGAGGCGTGAATGCGTGTACCAAATTTAATAGTAATCCATCCCATAGATGTTCACTCAAAACCACAAATGTCACCTTCACAGTGGCACTTGACGAAATGTCAGGGGATCACAAAAGTCAGCAGGATTCATCCACTGGGGATCATGAATGTCTGCACAAAATGTCATAGCAGTCTGTTGAGTTTGTGAGATATTTCAGTCTGGGGCGAAAAGGTGGACAGACAGACAAATCCATATTGCCATTTCACTAGCATGGCTATAAAAATACTTTCATATCCACACTGAGGGCATCACCTGTGAAGGGGTGTCGCAGCTACTATGTGACCTCTGCTTTAAAGAACATCAACCACATTTCCTTTCCTTCACAATAAGGTAATGAAAACTGACGAGACTCCGTGATGGTACAAATTAATTTCTTTTAATGCATATTAGCACTTATTTTTTTGGATTTACAAATATAAACATGATCACGTTCACCTGAGGTGATAGATTACAGCACAACACACCCCATATTACACACACCACCTACTGTATGGAGTTTTTAAATGCAAATGAGTTATTCACTTAGTTTCCTATTTAAACCTGTAAGGAGAGCCAGATGTGTGGGGTTGACTGCATTGTAGAAAGTCAGTGTCAGATTAAGGGCTCAGTCACACATTTGCAATGGCGGTCAACTTCCTGCCATTGTCTTTTTGGTGTTACCCCCACCCACTGCAACAGGCTTCACCACCCTGATAAATTATTTGCAAGCATTTTTTTGACCCAGCTCTGAGACAAGTTACTGAATAAATACAAACTGTAATAATAATAAAACAAAAATCAATAAATTAATGTTGAAATGTCAAACACAACACTCATCAATTCATAAAAGTATTAGGGTAAGCGTAGAGGGTGTAACAAGAAAAAATTTATTTACTCCTTGAAATACATTCTAAATATTTGGGGAGTGTTTATGATCATTTAGTCAAATATGTATTACTGTACATGTTATTTTTTTGTCTGATACTGAAGTAATAATGTCAAGTACAGATTTTGGCACATAGAAGACACTGTTGTATGAAGGTAAACTGAGGAAGGGGACAGTTCACGTGCCATATGGTCTCTCTGTGATATTTAGCTCCTGAGACTCTGTAAACTCATGAAATAATGCTTGTATAAAAATACTGTTTTCATATATTTAAAGAATAAAAAAACAAAACAAAAAAAAAACACCGGTCAATTACAAGCACGTCTTTATAAAATTATTATCGCAACACAAATACATGCATGCTGCTTCCTCTTTATCTGTCCAGTGAATGTTCCTCACCTCCTCATATCAGAGTCCATTTAAGATCTCCTTCCAGAAATCCACCTCTCGCTTCAGCTTGTTTACTGTGATATTGATTTGGAGACGTATCATAGGACACAGTTTAAAAAGAAAAAAATGTTCCAGTAAGTGCAAAAAAAAAAAGAAAGAGTCTTTCAATCATTTCTGTCCTGTTAAAAACTAGCTCGACTTCTGCAGCAGTTTGTCCTCCTTCAGTCTAAACGGTACGCTCACAGACATCTCTGCGATGAACCTTTCGCAGGCCGTTTTGGACACTTGCTTGCAGAAGCGAAGGTCGATCTGACAAATGCTTCCACAACGCTTGAAGAAGTTTAGGGAATGGTCAGTGACCCGGTTACAAACTAAAGGAAAACGGAGAGAACAATCATCAGTCACAAGTCAAATTCACTGTCAAATGTCATAATTTCAGAAAAAGATCCCAAAGTGCATGGAGATTATGCAAGCAGGACAAATGCAAAGTATGTAGCAAACACCCAAATCTTTTCCATGGGGTAAATCAGCTGCGATACACCTTCCCTGCAATGCATTAATGTAAACAATCTCTTTAACCACATGAACACTTTGGGAATGCACAGATTAGATGGATAACTGTCCTTAACACTGTCTATATCAAGAGTTCCCAGCCTTGTAACTTCTTCCTGCTTTTCCAGGTGCCTCCAAATAGTTACTTAGTTACATGTGGCAGCAATTCAAGTACAGCCTGTGAAACATAAAAAGCCATTCTTGTGCTTGCCTTTTGAGTGGAATGCATTTTGACATCTCACAGTAGGATGGCGGGATTCAATTATAAGTATCTGCTTTGGTTTAAGGGCCCTGGTAACCTGGCATGCTGACTCATTGTCACCTGTGATGTATTACTGAGTGACTGGGTAGCACAAAGCCATTGTTAATGTTATTAGTAACACCTGTGATTTTACTACTAGTCAAAATGTCTGAAAAGGCCTGTTTTGCGTGGTCCTTTCTTTTTATGTCAGACATTGAGGAACATGTAGTGATGTTTTTGTAAAGTTTAGTTTATATTCATACCTATTTGACTCTTTATTCTGTCATGCCTTTAACTCATTTTCTGTTGCAGACTTTATGGATTACTGAGGATTAAATGCACACTTCCTGGTCTGGTCTTTTTCTTCTTTTACTTTATTGATCCCTGAGGGGAAAATGTTTCTCAGCATTTAACCCACACTAATTAGTAGCAGTGGGCAGCCATTGTGCAGCACTCGGGGCCAAGTTAAGTGTTCAGGGCCTTGCTCAGGGGCGCCTTTAGCAATGGTCCGTGGTGGACTGGCAACCTTCTAGTTGTCAAACCAAGTCCCAACAGACTGAGCTAATGCTGCCCTATGCTAAAAATGTATGAAGGCATTTAAAAATAACCTAACATACTTGGTTCCCTGACAAAAAAATATATAAATCTGGGTCCCCTCAGAATCTGTCTAGTGGGGCCTCCCAGTTGAAGCATCTAACTTGCTATTGTATAGCACCTATACATCAGCCCCCTTTAAAACTCAATTGTGTATTCCTATGAGCTGTTGCTCATGTCCCAGTTCTTACCTGACAGGTTAATTTCTGTGAGGGAGTCTCTGGTCGTGGTTCCTGCTGCTGTCAGCAGGTTGACTGACTGGTCGTTGATATGGTTGCAGTAGCTCAGGTCCAGATTGGACAGCAGAGGCATCTGCCGGCTGATGAGACGTAAAGACGTGTCAGTGATGTCCAGCCCCGCCAGCCGCAGGTCCTGCACGTTCCTCAACTTGCAGCGGTTGTCCAGTTGACCTGTCACATGGTCACATAAAGAACATCACCGGTCACTTTCTGTATTTTGTCAACAGTAGGCACCACAATGCATTCACAGATTTCAGTGTTTGTGCTTTGATGATCCGCTGAGTTACCTGGTCTGTTGTCTGTGGGTGGTGAGAGGAGGTCCCTCATCTGTGCGTCTTTGAGCCCCTCCACCCACTGGACATCTAAGGTGCGCAGCAGCGGGCAGCTGGAGGTGCAGAGTGCAGAAACAGCAGCCCAGGAACACCCAGATAACTTTAACACTCGCAGGCCTGAAAGACACAGCCGCACTTTAAAATACTGATGCAGAACAAGTGAAAACAAAACAAAGAGGGATTTTCTCATTAAGTACCTGGCAATCTATTAATAAGCCAGCTTAATTGTTTCTTGGAAATGTTGGTCCAACTGAGGTCCAGGGAAACTGGCTGTCGGCGGATAATCCCACTTAGCATGAGTGGGGTGATGGAGGTGCAGCGGTTCAGATCGATCTTTGTCCAGAGTCTCTTATCACAACACCTAGACATCAGAAAAAAAAGATTTATGTTGTGTGTTATTCTCTTCATGTTCCACTGTCAAAGCAGAGCTTTGGAAAAAAAAAAATGAAAAAAAAATAAACAAGCTCTAAGTGCGCATTCACACTTAAAAATGAAACATTTGTACATTCTGTGCAGCAATGATTTTTTAATTTTTTTATGTTGAACATAAAAGTGTAAACAAGTGTGCGCTGTGCACCTACCATCTGTTCCATGTCTTGCAAACTCTCATGCAGACACACAGCTCCTGATGTGTGAGATAGCCAAAGATCTTCATCCACACCTCGCGCTGTATGACGTGTGTTTTACCATCTTTTAGTGGCAGCCTGTCAGGAGGCGGGCTTATTGGAGGGGGGCGAATGACATGCCGCTCCATTTGGACACACTTGGGTGGGGAGTGTGGGGGCACCGGCCGGTTGGTTGGGGTGCTCCTGTTGAAGCCCAGTGGAGTGATCTGACTCGGGTAGAAATGGCGCAGCTCCCAGGGGGTCCCGTTCATCTCTTTGGTCTTGAGGTGGGGCCTCTGATCCCCAAGTTCACTGCTGTTGCGGAACAACCTCTTGGGTTCCTCGTTTTCCGTCTCCGGCTCCACCTTGAGGGGTTGGCGGTTCTCGTTGGCCAGGCAGTCCTCCGTCTTCTGGATTTCCTGGTTCAGTGCTTTGCTCAGCTCTCGGCTCAGCTCTCTATTAGGTAAACGCCGCTTACGGCGAGCTTTTGGACGCGGACCTTTGTCCTGGGTCTCACTTCCGCCCTCGCTGCTGGGGCCTGCCTGTGGAGAGCTGCAGTGAGACTGGTCACTGTCTCCGATTGGCGTTTTAATACAGGGATTCAAAAGTTCATTCCTGGAGTCCTTGTCATCCCCTTCATCTTCAGCGTCTCCAAAACGGCATTTCCTCTCTATACCACTCCGGAAGTAAGGCTCCCTTCCTTCACCATCCTCCTCCTCATATGCGTCCTCATCCTCTTCTGTCTTGATTTGGTGCAGAAGTCTGGAAAAATACGGATCATCTGACTTTTCCTGCAGAAAAAAAAAAGAAAGGTATGAGTTAGGGCTGAACCCGAATAGTCGAAGATTCAATGCTTCAATGGGCGGAGTCTGATTCGACAGTCAATCTCACAGTCGAAGCTTCGCAGTGAAACGAGGATCGTGCTATTTTGGCAATATGGGGGTGCTCAACATCTGACTTTACATAGAACTACCAGTTTCCTGACAATAAGCTAATATACAGCCTATTACAACGTTTAATGCTGGAAACAAACATAAAAATAATATAACTTTCAATAACTATTTTTAAAGTGCGTGAATAAATCCAAATTTGCAACCCTAACCCTGGGTCATCAGTGCGCATGTGTAGGCGTAGCATGTATGTGTGTAGTGGCAGAAGAGGAACACTTGCTGAAGAGACGGAGCTCCACCTTCACTGGTGTTGTGCCGAGTTGTCCGTATCTCGCGGGACTTCGGATAATTTATTCCCGTTGCAGAACCACACAAAGAATATTATATCGTTTTTACATAGCCGGCTACTTGAAATAGACCTGCGAGAAACCTCGACTTGCATGCAGTTGTCGGCAGCATGGCATGAACGCAAAACTCTGCCCAAGACCAGTGAATGACAGGCGAGAGAGAGATAGATAGATAGAGAGAGAAAAGGGTCTTCAAAAAGCCTCAGTATGAGATTTACTCACATTCATTTGGTTTGGTACAAGAGGAAATGCCCCTTAACACTTGCATCCATCATGTCTAAAAAAAAAAAGTCACCCTATAAATGAAACAAACCTTCTTCCTCACACTGAGGTCCTCTTCCTCATCATCATCAAAGAGCTTCCTCTTCTTCCTCAGTTTGTCCTCAGGCCTGGGCCGAGGCAGGCTGCAGGGGGACAGCAGTGGTGGCTGCCTGTGGAGAGACTCCTCGGGTCTGTACTTGGGTGTCTCCTCTCTGTCTGGTCTCCTCTTGGCTGCGGAAGAAACGTCCCCTTCCTCCTTCACAGGCTTCTGTTCCCTCAGCAGAGAGCCTGGGAGGTTGGACGCGTACTTGAACCCTGGACCCCTTTTTTGCTTCAATACCAAAGGGGACAAAAAATTGCGAGACAACTTTATACCTTTAGCCTATCATGACAAGCTAAACCAACTGTGCTACAAGTGTACCTAAGGTTTAATAAACTCATCACTGTAACCAAAACACAGAACACAGTGTATTTCTGTGGTTTCCTGCTTCTGAGACAGAGTCACATGTGAATGACTTTCACAAACTAGAAATGTATAAACAGGAAGTGGCAAGCTGATTAACACAAACTGAAATACTGAATTAGGAAAGTGAGTGTTATCTTTGTGTATTACCACAATTCATAAAATCTCAGTAATGGTTTTACTGTTTTCAGAGTGAAAATACTTCTAACACCCACCTAGTAAGCTGTTACATAATCCTAATTCTTTGACTCGCACATATTTGTACTCACTTTTCCACTTTTCCCAGCATGGTTGCATTTGGGACATTCCCAGCAGTTAGGGAGTTCATCGTTCACCACTCCTGAGGCGTCGCTCACCTGATAAAACAAGAATATGAGCCGGATTTCAACACAATCAAAAAGCTGTAACGTCCTATGGACAGTTTTTTTAACACCAACAAGACAAGGGAAGTGAAAGTAGTTGTTATGACGTGTCCCTGTTAGGCAGGTCAGTGCAGTTTAACCTCAGCCACAGTTTACATGCAGACTCTTGCAGAAAAGGGAAGTAGAGTTAACGACTTGTACTTGAGGAACTTAAATATACACTTCTGAACGGCTGTAATGTATAAATTGTTGTATGTTACAAAAATGGAATAATAAGATGGTTGTGCTACAAAACAACTGGACAGTGCTTGTCTGAAAAACTAGTTAGACCAAAACTGTGTTGGCATAGACCTGATTCAGTTACAGGCAGACAGGGTTTATGTTAATGTGCATATGCCAGCTTTGTGCCGGTCTCACGTGTAGTCCAGCAGATGAAAATATTGAGATTAATAACATATCAAATATGCTAATATTGTGTGACCTTTAAGATAAGAAGGAGGGAGTCTCTGTCCGTCTGTCTGTGCATTTACTGTAACACCGGAGCTGAGAAACACAGTCGCTCTGTGTCACTCTGTCCTCCATTTACATCATCCCTCTCTGCCTTTTAAACCTAACTGCTTCTTCATTTTGCTTATTTTCAAGTTTTTTCATTTGACGGGCTTGGAATGCAAAAGAGACACACATAATGTCTGTATTTACTGGAAAACAAATAGCAGGGCTATTATTTGCTTCAATCACTGAACTCAACCTGCCTATATCTGTTCAGGTGTCTCTACGGGACAGGCCTTTAATTCCTTTAACACCAAACTCTTGCTCAGCAAAGATGGGAAATGCTGTTTGTGTCAGTAAAAGGGCGGTCTTTGTTTGAAGAACATGACAGTGAGCAATGGACTTCACATGACAATATTCACAACTTGGATTCATTTTTATGAAAAAACATTTTCAGTCTCTTGATCTGTAGATTCTCAAGAACTAAAGAAACTTATCTAATTGGGGAATGGATACATATTTTTTTTAAAAGGTAGGGGAGTCACCACTCGTCTCTTGTTTACCATGCCGGTAAATCTGAATGAATTATACTTTGGTGCTCAGGGTTTCTGTAAAATAAACTTAAAAACTGAATTGTGGAGAATCGAACCAATGTAACAATGTGTAGCATGTTCATATTGACAACAGTTTAAACATTTATATATTTGTTTGCGGAATCTAAGCAGCTTAGAAGTAGCTTAATCAGGCGACGCCATGGGTTTTAACAGGTTTTAAAACATGTTTGTTATTTGTTCGATATTGGTCATTCAGTAAATGTTCTTATTCCCAATCGCTTGTTTTCTTGATCATCGTGGTGGGAAGTCAAATCTTCAAACATGATGATGTCACACTTCACGAGTGTGTTCAGCATTATGTAAACAACACCTATTCCACATCCAGTCACCTTCAGTGACTACAGTCCAACCGTCTGAATCCCTCACATCATGTTACGATATCTTGGGTATCCTGTCACACTACTTTAAGCAACGAGTCAGCGAGTGAATGACTGGACTGAGGTGGAGCTGTTCCCATGCTGGCTCTCTGTACCTTGAGACATTTGGGATGGACGATCTCGTTGCAGATAGAGCACTCCATCAGCATGAAGTTGAACTTGTCCTCTTCTTCTTCCAGCGTGTCCTCTTTCCCTGCCTCTTTACACACCACACACACCGCCGTGTGGGGCAGAACCGGCTGCATGGATTGAGAACAAACTATCAGGTACGTGCAGGAATAAATACATTTAACTTAACAAACCATTTTATAGCCTGCTGACTTATGTTTTCTGTCTCAGAAGAGAACCTGTGACAATACACCTCTGTATTTCTTTGATACACAGCTCTTGTAGCAACCTATATAATGAAAAGAAAATGTGTGTGTGAATGTGTAAAACTTACCGCAATGCACTGTCTCATAATGCAGGACTGCTTCATGCGCCCCGGCCCTCCAAACTTCTTCATGTCCTTGCAGAAGTGACACTCTCCACACTCGGTCCGGAGGCACGCCTCGCACTTTCGGCAGCGTGTCCTCCTCCGTCTGGCTCCGGATGAGCTACGGTTGGACGGCAGCTTAACGGCCGACGACGTCCCCATCTTGGGCTTCGGCCGGTTGGCTGCCCGTTGCTGGAAGACAAGCAGGGTTTAGATGGAGTGGTCAGTTGAGGGTGAAACGTTTATACCAAGAAACGACAAATGCGTGAGTCACTGTGACGAGGGTTTTTAAGCAAGATAATGGGTGGAACATCTTGTATATTAGGCAGCTCATCCAGATTAAGCTTCTGAAGTTGAGCATCAGTAGGATATCAAAATTATTCCTGTTATGTTGCATCAATATGATATATAAATGATTCATTTGTTCATTTTAGTCATAACAGCCAATTCATGCTGCTTTTTGACAGTTAATAGCCAATTTAAAATGTCTACTTCAGTGCATTTCTTTGTTATGATCACTGAAATAAAGAAAGGCTCAAAAGATCTAAAAGGTTTTTTTGTTACATTTAAATTGATTTAAATAAATTGTTTACACCTTGTTTTAACAAATGAAAACAGGCAATAATAAAGAATTGTTTTAAGACAGCTGTACCAAGATTACTGTTACAGTATAATAACAGTTTAACTATTGAACATTGGCTGGCATTTAATTGAAAGAAATGACATGTGTAGGACTCCCAACATTATCTATTGGTGTGCACCATTTTCAATTATACATTCAGCAGAAGCTTTGGTCTAAATGATGCGATGGACAAGTTAGATTACTTTCTTCATGATATTAAAATGTCAGAAAAATGTGGAAATCATAACCCATCATAATTTCCTAGAGCCCACAGGACACCTTGAAATAGTTTTTTTTAAATCAAACCGTCAAAACACTTACACTGTTAAATAAGTGAATAACACCAAATCTTAACGTTCGGGGAAGCTGAAGCCAGCAAATGCTTAAATGATGAATCGATTATCACAATAGCTGGCTGTTCTGCTGATAGCCTACTCAATAAATTGACTGATAGTTTCAGCTCTACAATTGAGAATCTGAAACGGTATCATCTTCAAACCACGCCTTTACATAACAAAGCGATAACCTGCCCCACAACTCTGACCTTCCATCTGAATTGCATGCTCTCCGCGTGACTCACAGGAGTAAATGAAATAGAAGGTAACGAGGTGATTAAAAGTCATCTTTCACGTTTGTGTGGGAAAAGACTCTCTCTCTCACACACACTCAGTTTGAATCTATGATCCTAGAATTCACGTTTGTGAATTTTTCACATTTATTTTTAGTCTCTTCCCTGTTGCCATGGCAGGACTGTAAACCACTATAAAAAAAAATAAAAAAATAAACATCAGACAAATCATAGACCATTACAGTGATTCCTGTTCTTGCAGGAGAGGTTCCCTTGGAAACTCGTTTTTGCCTTGCTGGTGGCAACTGTTTGCAAGAGATGGATAAAAATAAGCTCACAGGAGGAGGTTATGATTTACTGTGAGGCTGCGAGCGCTTTTCTCATGGTGTCGTTTATTCTTATTCTCTTACTGATAACTAGTGCAACATAGCATTTAAGCGCATTTTATTTCTAGATAACAACGCTGGGGTGCTATGGACAGGTCCCACAGGTAAAACTTGATGGACATTCCACGATAATGACAATCAAGACTGATGCTTTCTAAATGATATTACCCAGGCAGAGAGGAGAAACCAGTCCTGAATCTCTCGACTGTGACAAAGAACCAACAATGTTGTCTGTCCTGATTGAAATTTTCCCCTCAGGAGGATTTTAGATAGATATGTTTTCTTTTAAATTGTATGTTTTCCCTGCACAATACCTTGTGTTTTGCCTGCTGTTACAGGGGAAGAATTTAGTCGAGATAAGGAATAATCCATCTGACAGCTTTCCATAATCTGACTGCCGTGGAAATGTGGGAGGGAAACATCAAAGAATGGGCTGATGCTTCTGCTGCTGCAAGGGTGGCTGTGACTGTCAACATCACACAGTTTTTTTTATTTATTTAGTTCAGCTGCCTTATTATTACCCTAACCTTGTCTGACACAACTGCTTTTTTAATATTATATCTCATGTCAGGTTTGCAGAGGCTCTGCTCAAAGTAATTTGAATTAAAAGTGTCCATGCAAAGTTTCTTTCACTCCCTTAACATCTTTGACCTCTACCTACTTCACAAAAAAAAAAAGCACAAAATTGTGGCTACAAACAAACAAATCAGAGCAGCCTCCGCCACTTTGCACAGCATGGTCGCGAAAGCAACTATCAGCTGACCCGCCTTTACTGTAACTCTGTGCAGTAATGTGTCAGGAATTTGGGATTGGTTGCTGAGGCCTGTGAACAAAAACATGGCCTATATTCGCAGTCTTCTGACTCAGCTACAGCGTGGATTTCAGCAGGAGGAAGTCACAAGCCTCGTCATTTGCTGCTCATGTACAGTGGTCCTCAACATAAACACAAGAGTGTGTTATTGTCTTGATCACAAAACCACAACAAAACAGGTCAAAATTCCCTATCTGATAAACTGCCATGTCAGTGTTGTAGGTACAAATATTGTGTAAGCACAAGGAGCTGACTCTTGTCAGCACATATCATATGTCTCCTGAGTTGTACAGGCCAAGAGTCTAATGGAGACTTGTGCAATATCTCATGAGCCCTGTCAGAAAGCATACCATAGATGCACTTCATGCTACAAATCAAAACTGTGTCCTAAGGAACCTCACAGGACAATATATTGAGAGTAACCAGTGATGTAATTTCTTCCTCCTGCAGCAAAACAAACGGACATAACTCTGTTTTTAAATCGAGGTGACCGTAATATTTCCGGGGTTTTTTTTATGGGTCACTGGACCCCAGTTTGGGAACCATTGGAAGACTAAGCAACAGAAGCAGAGCAGCTTCATTGTTCCCTCTCCCCATCCCCCTCCTCAGTCCCTGCCTAACAACATTATGCCTACTTAAAAAGTCTTCTTAAAGCAACAGAGTGGTGGGGCAAGTCCAGGAAGTAGCGGGGAGATTAATGACAGGAAAAGCATTTTTATATGAGGGCATACTTGTGGGAGGTTCGTGTAGTTACATGTGCAAATCACAGCTTTTTAACAGTAGGAAGTTGGGTCATCTTCCAGCTAATGGTTCTGGTCACAGTTACGAATATGTAACGTCAACACTACTGGATGAACTGCTCTGTATTAAGAGCTGGTCCGTACAAAATGGGTCAGTTGTGGCTAACGTGATAGATGGTGTCCAAGGTGGAGAGCACGGTGTGTGTGTGGACGGCCAGGGTAAACAGCCCCGAGACTATTTAAGTCATCGTACGGGACATTTAGCTTGTTATGTCTCTTTAACCTGGTTAACCGAGGACGATGGTTTAAATGACACATTTCTCCTTACAACTCGACTAGCTTAACGTTACGTTAGATAACGTTACGGATAAGAGGAGCGGGTGTAAACCTCACGTTAACCTGAAGCAACTGAAGAAAAACACCCTTCCGCCCTTTTTAACACAGCACACCTTGACAAAGAAAAGGAAAAGTCACATAATAAAATGTAGGAGCTCTCACCTGCTCTGACTCTGAATCATATTCATCATCGTCTCCGCTCAATGACAAGGCCATAGCTCCTCTCTCTCATCGTTCGTGAACCGCAAGAGAAAACTAACATGGCTGAACGAGCCTCCAGCTCAGCTACTTCCCTCCCTCCTTCACATCACACCAGCACAGGCAGCTTCTGGCTATGTTCATTGTGCTGTGTTCATGAACCGTGGGAAACACCAACTTCGTACTTACTTAATGCACCAGTGTAGCATTCAGGCAAAGATAATTAAAAAAAAAACACTCGACCGAAAACACGTAAAATCAATGATTATACAAGTGTTCTTAATATAAAAGAGTATGCGAAACAGTAAAGTAGGGTCAAACATTTTAATTAAATATAAAACTCCTGGCGCTGCATAGCGTCACAGGAGCCTTGCCAAACATTGCAACTGTTATTAACGTGCTATATGAATGCAGCATCGATGCTAACAGGAAAAGAAGACGAGCAGCTAACACAAGAAAGTTCACTCCTACACACGTCCGTTTTCACTTTTGCTTGTTTATGTGGTATCCTTGAGTCAGTCAAATTCTTCAAAGGTTAATTTGATTTATTTAACGTCTTAATCCTCAAGAGAGGTTACCATTGGGCTTACACGCCTTTGAGTTGGCTGACTTAACATTATCTGTAATTGTTATTCATATTTTCTACATGTTGTAGCTTAATGGCAGCTGAAGTAGACCTACAGGTATTAATAATATTTCAGGTGTCATGATATATGTGAGTCACATACCTCATAATTGAATGTATGAGAGTTGAAACCAGATATTAACTGTCCAATACATTTCGTTCCCCTGAAAATGGGGGAAATTAGTTATGTATTAAATGCTGACAATTGATTCCCACACTGTTTGAGTGCTGATTAATCAAATTTACGTATGACTTCATTTTGATCTTGGGAACAGAGCGTACAGAGCCAACACAACAAGAAATGTGTCATTGGCTTACTCAGGATTGGACTGTGTGATGATATGAGGATTATATAATAATGAATCATATATTTCCACTGTGTTTCGTTTTGAAACTGTCTTACTTTGGCGTCATCCAGTGGTAATATCAGGACGACTAAAGCTGAGCTAAAAGTGAAGCAGAATTTAAAATATGTATTTCAGGAATTCATATACCTAATATGAAAACTGATTTTCTATCTTAATATGCTGATTTTTTTTTATTATTAGCCATAGCCTTATCATTATTTTATATACATATATTTTATGTAATCTACAGTTTGGTTGATATAAGATCAGATTTTAACATGCTCAAATTCAGGCTTTCACTGACAACTAATCAACAACTGCGAATAAATTACTTTTCAGCTATGATCTGGTGATGGATACTTTTTCAAATGTGTTTTTGCAATCTTGAGTGGAATAAAATTCTTATTTGGCTGCAAGGCCATGGACCAAAGCAGGGACCACCTTTGAATATAGTCCACTTTCTCCATTTACATTTAGATGTCTTTATCCAAAGTGACTTACATTTGACAATCAACAAACAAGCATCAATAAATTAAGAGATCTACAAATTAAAATAGATTCTAGTAAGAGCAGCAATAAATACTAGTAAGAACTATTAGCTTGTATAAATACCTAGTGAAAGAAGTAAGAGTTAACGAATAGTGAAATAAATAGGCTACAAGAGAATTGTAAGGAGAAAGAAGAAGAAGAGCAAAGGAAGTGCATGTTAGAGGTTAGGGGTTTGAGGTGTCATTAGAGGAAGTGTTCTCGGAAGAGATGAGTTTTCAAGAGCTTTTTGAAGTTAGAGAGGGACGCCCCTGCTCTGGTGGCATGTGGTAGTTGTGGTGTTAAAGGCTGTTTACTAAACAGGAACAGTTTTTATCACTACAACCTTAGAGAACAACACTAACAGATCCAGCATTGAGAGCATGCAATAGCTCATAAAGTATCTTTAAAATGTACATTAATTCAATTAAAACAGGCTGTTGTTCAATTTATCCTTTTATTGTGGCCAGTCTAAGGCTCACCTGTGCAATACCCATGCTGTCTGATCAGCATCTTGATATGCCACACCTGTGAAGTGGATGGATTATCTCGGCAAAGGGGAAGTACTCACTAACACAGATTTTGGCAGATGTGTGAACAATATTTGAGAGAAATAGGCCTTTTGTGTGCATAGAAAAAGTCTTAGATCTTTCAGTTCAGCTCATGATGAATGGGGGCAAAAACTAAAGTGTTGCGTTTATAATTTTGTTCAGTATATCTTTACTGACGCTGCTAATGGTGATGAAGGTATGATCTCACACAGTGGCCAGGTCACTGTCTGAGGGCTGTCAAGTGCCTTACTGCTATGGACAGACATACTAAAATGATGTAATCCCTCCCTAGCTTCAAACCAAGCCAAAAGCATCGCAGTCAGGGATTGAACGCAACTCTCTGTGATGCACCACCCAGGTACTGTACCTTATTTATAAATGAATTGGTACAAATGTGTACCTCAGACAATAAGAAACTTTTATCTTCCTTTGTTGTGGCTCAAATTGTACACATCTACTTTCATCTTCTTCACTTTCTGTTCTTTCTATAAACAATGTACTTCTCGTATGTGTATCTGAACTTGCAATGAGCAGAATTTCGCTATAGGGTAACTGGAAGCACACACACATGCATCTGTTTGCACACAAAACACACAAATGAAATTCTCTCTCCCCATTTGTGATTTCTGTGGTCTGGACAGTGCAGATAATTCAAAGTTTATCCTGTGCTGCAGCAGCACCACATGAGAGACTAGCTTTACTGTATTTTTAACTTTCATTTCATTTTATGTGTAGGTGTGGGTGACTGCCAGTTTGCATTTACCTTGCTAAATGAATCTACTGTAGTGTGGAGCCAGTTAATATGAATGAGTAATTAGGCTAGGCTATACTTTAGCAATACAAATAATTGCTGATGTTAACATAGTGGTATAAATAAATGTATGCTATTTTGTAACCTTTCTTTCTGGATGGTAGTGCTTGTAAGAAACTTTAATAGCTCTTTAAAATAAAAGACTTTAGTTTGATTAGTGCATATTTTTTTGCTGAATTGCTCAGACTTTTGATCTGAGACAAATTTCAACATTCAAAACTGCTGACAGAGAGGCCAAGTGTGGACAAGTCACTAAACATTGCATAAAAGTGTTGGGTGTAGCCTTTGCCGAAGAGACTACATATCCGTAAAATAAAAAAATCATCGTCATGACGAGTTTCTGGCGCAAGGAGGCGAACTAGTTGCAGCTGCCAGAGAAGAGCATTGGATTGTGGGTACACGCTTCCTGGGAGACTCTTGATAGATAGTCAGCTGTTGTAGGAAAGTTTTGACATAGTTTTAAAACGTCCTGTAAGTACAGTGTTTATTAGATGTCGTACCTCATTGGAACCACATTTCCTGCATGCGCGTTATATACGTCAACGACTAACGTTACCATCCTGTAAATCCATCCGGGTAATAACTATATATTTATACAAAAAGTAACTGGTAACTTTGAGAGGGAGAAAACTATAGGAATGAGTTTAAACGAGCACTCCATGCAGGCTCTGTCATGGAGAAAACTGTACTTGAGTCGAGCCAAGTTAAAAGCCACGAGTCGCACTTCAGCTCTGTTGTCGGGATTCGCGATGGTAAGTTGTCTTCACTTGTTCCTGTTACAGTTGTCACAATCTTTAAACACTGCATAAATGCAAACTCAACTTAGGCCATCGGCACGAACCGCAGATACTTTAGTGACGCAGATGATTGTCTTCAGGGCTGTGGAGATCATGACACTTGGCGGGCCTGATGACGGTTCCCGTGCACTCTCATTTAACGTTATAGTGTAACGTTAATGATTAACGGCCTGTTTACGTTAGGACTTCTAAACAAAAAGGTCAAGACATCGTTCAGTGATGTGTGGTTTTGCACGAGATGTACCTCACGGTGCAATAACGGAACAAGAAAACAGTTTGCTTAAACTTCGGAGGGCTTGTTGCTTACACACCCTCAAATCCGCGTTTGTCTTGCGCCATAAAAATTAGACTGCAGAGCAGCACTGCTGAAGCATCCACACCATTTTTACTTTATTTCCTCAACGCACATTTCATGTATTTGCATACAAAAAGTTGATACGCAGCCATATTTATTTCTGAAATGCAAAATACTGCCAATATTAAGATACTATTAAGATAACAGAGAAATTGTTGTGCAGCGGTTGCAGTAGCCTACAAAGTTTAGGAAACATAAAATATCAAAAAGGTGCAAGTATAAAAATAGTAATAAACAGATGTCCAAAATCCACAGAATTACAATAGTCAGAAGTAAGATATTTATGAAACTATACATGCTAATAATGAGCATACAACATGCAAAGTATTCAAAAATGTTATATAACAATGTAAATGCTAAGGCTCCTCGCTCCATTTGTGAAAAGACTCCAGATATAATCATATTAATAATGGATATGCTAATAATTTTGATTAATCAGATATGGATTTTGTGACCTATTCTTTTGTCTCACCATTCACTTATTTGGGATTCACTTATTTCCACATCAATGCACAATTGATGCTCAAATCTCTATGGCAATGCAGTTACGGTAATGCAGCTGCCCTGCTCTTATTAGTTAGTAAGTAAGTAATATGTTAATTTATATAACACCTTTCAAGAGCAGGTGTCACAGAGTGTTTTCACAATAATAGACAAAGAGCAAATGAAAGGCAGAGCAACAGACATGAAATGCAGACATCAAGCTAAATACATAACATTTACATCACCAAAGCTAAACAAAAGCAAGTCTAAAAAAATAGTTTTTGGTATATTATTTTTGAAGGTTGCAGGGTCCCTCCAATCTTTTTTTAACAACACCTAAATTTTAACTTTTCACCACCGGCTGCCGTTTGGTAAGATTTAGCAGAAGGAACCACATCTTACAGGTTTTTCATTGTTACATTTGATTAGATTGATGTATATAGCTCTCTTTGCTGTGCAGTGGAGACATCAACAGCTACAAAGCAAGCAGTGATCAGGGGTGTCGTTGTTTATTATGTTATATACAAACACGTTTGGTAATATAAATATAACAGCCAAGTCTATTGTGTTACTTACTGATGCAGTTTAAAAGAGTTTCTGGTAAGATATTATGCTTGCGTTTATGTATGTTCAATGATAGGGAGGAGAAAAGTAAATTTTCAGCGCCAGTTTACTACATTTGTAAAGACCGACATCAGCCTAACTCCAATTTTGATTCAATAGCCTCCTTGTTATTTGACAAACACAAAGAACCATCTACAGAGCACAGGATGCAAAAATCACAGCTCTGAAAGAATATAAAGCGATCACAATAAAATTTGCCCAATTTTCATATTAAGATTAATGCAGACACTTCCTGTACCCATAAATCTGCTATATGTTGTAGATATTGAAATTTTTCTTGTGTGATTTGCCTAGGTTGCCATGGTGGAAGTACAGCTGGAGCGGGATTACAAGTATCCTCCAGGGCTGCTGATAGCCTTCAGTGCCTGTACCACAGTCCTGGTTGCGGTACACCTCTTTGCCCTCATGGTCAGCACCTGCATCCTCCCTAATCTTGAGGCTGTCAGCAATGTTCACAACCTCAACTCTGTCAACGAGTCTCCCCATGAGCGTATGCACCGCCACATAGAACTGGCCTGGGCTTTCTCCACAGTCATCGGCACCCTCCTCTTCCTGACCGAGGTGATGCTCCTGTGCTGGGTGAAGTTCTTACCCCTCAGAAGCGCCACCGCAGAAAACAACGGTACCATAAGTTCCGGTGAGGCCGCAGCCATCGCTTCCACCTGCATCATGGTGCCGTTCGGACTCGTTTTTATCGTGTTTGCTGTCCACTTCTACCGCACACTCGTCAGTCACAAAACGGACCGACAGAAACGAGAGCTGGAGCAGGTCATTCGGCTCCAGAACCAGCTGGACCACAGGGCCGAGAATGACGACCTGAAGGCCGGTGTCCATTACCCTTGATTATAGCTAGTTAGCACACAGCAGCAGTGGCCATTCAACGGTGCTTCAGTTCTGAAATCTTTTGTAAAAGCTTTATTTAATATGTTTATGAACTGTGCTCAGATGCTTTTTTTTTCTTTTTCTTAATTGTAAGCTTCATCTGGCGAGGGATGCTGGTTTTGACAGTCCACTTTTGGATAATGCATGTGCATAAGCTTCTACACATTATATATTAGAAAAAAATAGTTTTACCTTTTAAGTTGAAGGTAAATATTTTGCTCTGAGGCACTAAGATTTCAGTGGCTTTTATATTATTGACATATCATATATTGTGATGTTGCGTAGTTTAGGGATAAAGCCACTTAAGGTCTTCACACATGTATTGTTTATTGTCTCAACATGTAGGTGCACTTTCTTGTTTGAAAATGACTCAAGAAGGCCAAAATGTTTTTTCATGCTTTAAATCAGACTTTGTAGGGAGCATTACCAAGCCTTTAACATCAGTACAGATGTTTATATGCAAGGTGTGAATTGTCTGTCTGAAGTATCACTGTCTGCATGCCTTAAAACCAAAATTATGGATTGCATCCTTTTAAAAGGCTTTGGTGCTTATAATTTCAGTTACCAATTGTTTTAAGTTGTGTAAAATGTTTGCTGCTGTCGTTAGATTTTCAGTTTTCTGAACAATTTACATTTTGCCTGTTTGCATTATCCTATTTTTTGAGGAGCTCCAAATATAATGGAGCATAGGAAAATTAAGATTTGTTTAGATCATAAACAAAACAACCAGTATATTTCAATGTTAACAACAGTATTCATGGAGAGCCTGAGGCAAAATAAATAAATGCTAGTCAGGGAGTGCTTTGAACCAAAGTGTGTATTGCAGTGCATATATTTGTTATTGTAAGGGAGAATCAAAATGAGATATTAGAGGCAGCTTTTTGGAGCTTGCTCAATGTCACATTGCTGTTGAATGTATTATTACAAAGCATGCGCATATTGGAAATGTGGCGTTTGGGTTTGTATGTTTTGCACAAGCTTGTTCACACATTGTTAGGTTGTGGAATTATGGGACTTGTTTGTTTGGCCTATAGCCCATTGTTGAATAGTTTTTCTTGGGTGTGACCATTTTCTTTAGTTTTGTCTTCACTGTAACAACTCGGTCTGAGCTCAAATTAGGGAACGTGCAGAGTTATTTTCTGGTTTCATGACAAAATGTTCATATCAGTATACCATATCCCATAATAGTCTTGTAAATATGGTTAATTAATCACAACATGATATTTGAAAGATCTGAGAATATCTACATTTTATGAATGGTGATGAAATTTGCATTTTTATCATTTGATTTTGAATTATATAGCTGAATACTGTAACATATTGTATTTATATCAAGGTAATGCTGTGGTCACTATTGCAATATCAGTGTTGTCTGCATTATAGGACACAAGCTCCCAATATTTCCATTCAGATTGTCCAGATGAGATGATAATATGTCTGAGACACAAGGAGCCAGAAGACTGTAGTAAAATGGTCATTATGCTTCTCCAAAGAACTGTTGAGGGTGTTTGTTTAAGTGTGTTTTTACAAGGAATGAAATAAAGACAGGTTAATTCAGGGGCCTTTACACACACTCTGGGACACTTGCCACTTGTGCCTTCTTTGGAAACAGATTAATGCAAACAAAGGCATGTCTCTTCAGTTCTTTATTTATTTAACCCAGTGTTTGTTACTGTACATAGAGACGATCCACTGCTTGTGTCAATGCAGAGTTTTAAAGTGAATGTTCAGTAAATACGATATTGTAAGTTTTGCTTGTGTGTGGTTTTAGCAGCTCTTGAAGCTGCAGCTTTTTAACCTGTTGAGTCACCAGGACTAATTATTTTTTGTTTTTTGTTGTTAAATAGATAAATAAAACACATCTGCGATGATTTTGAGAGTTTTATATAAATTATTTATTTGTGTGTTTTATAACCTTTGCATGAATTAAAAAAGGACACACTATTATCTTACACAAAATGTTTTTTAAACTATGTCAGAAGATTTCCCTGAGGCTCTTGTTGCTGTCAGGGCTTGTTTAGCTGCTTCTCTGAGTAAGTCATCCACATTTTCCCCATACTTGGCTGTGCACTCTAAGCACAGCACAGTATTGGTTTTCCTTCTGGCTGCTTCTCCCTGTCAGAGTTTGATTCCCATGAATGAGTTGTGAATCATAAATTCTATCTATCTATCTTTCTATCTGTCTAAAATGATTACACACTAATAGTCGGTATTGCTTGTCAAGTATACATAGGTAGTTCATTCAGCTTCATACCTGAATAGGCCTATATGTGACAGCATTCTGACCCAAATGAGCTTCTTGATCAGGAGTTTGTCTTCTCGTAGTTCTACTTTTTACCCAACAAAGATGATGGGCACCCCTGCAGAAACGTTGCACTTCTGAGTACCATTGAAAGACATGGAACAAAGTTAGGCTGTGGAGTTTTTAGGCACCACAAACTGCAAAATGATTATAATGCGTAGGTCAAGATGGTAGGTCACTTCAATCAGATTTTGAGAAATGAGATTTGTGTTTTTTAAATGAGTAGTTTAAGGAGTAGGTGAAAGAATTTTCACCAAACCTGATATCCCGCCTTAACTTGTACAAAAACCATTGACACAACTTAAAATACCTTTGTGAAGACTATCAAAGCTTGAAGCACACATGACATCGTAGAAGATGAGCACCACTTTAACACTGTGGTATGAGTAAATGTAAATGTACTTTTAATTGTCACATACACATACATGTTGCGATATTTATCCTCTGCATTTAACCCATTCCTCAATGTGAGCAATGGGCAGCCGTTGTGCAGCGCAGTGTGTCTGGTCAATGCATTGACTGAAGAACTAACATGTGGATATTTAATTTCACTGTTGGTGGATGTGAAGGAATTTTTGGGCTACAATGACACAGGTTTCCCCAGGTCACGTCAGGGTCAATTGCTGAGCTAAAGTATACCAAATGACAGCCAGGGACTCTCCAAATTTCTAGGTCAGACTCTATCTCTCCTCTCTGCCTGCTTGGTCAACTGTCTGACGCAGCTGCCTTGATAATGATGCACTATTATCCATTTGTTAGGAAAGCCAAGGTCGAGATTATCTTTATTTTGTTTCATTACAGACAGACTGACTGGCTCTATGTAGAAAGTTTTGCATGTGGCTTGAATGACACACAACATGACTTTAGGTTAACTTAAGTAAACAAAGTGTCTTGATTTGAACCAATAATCAATATAATCGTCACACATGTATGGAGGGGTGAACAATAACCTTATTTGGACACTTGGTTAATCTATGTTTAGGAATGATAAATATCCCCAGACAGGAAGCACCCTTCAGATTTGGTGTTGGCATTGCAAGTGTTCACGTCTGATGCTGGCACTGTATCTCTTAAATAAGCAAAAGCTGTCTTCATAAGTCTCTGAAATGTCACACACCTGAACCTGGCTCACTTTATTTTCATAACAATGGGGACAATATCTCCCAGTGGGAGAAAATAAGTCTCTGAGAGTCTGTAAAAAGTAGGCAGCGGACCAAATGCTCCTGATCCTTTTCCGGACATGTTTTGTGAAAAGACAGATGAGGAAGGATCAGGGGCAGAGACAGACGTTGTAAACATTCGGGGCTTAGCCAAATATAGGGTGGTCCTGGGGCTTACTCATCCAGGGAGATTGTTTCTATACATCATTTGGGAAAAACATGATAGTGGAGTGAAAAAATCATTCTGTAGAGCCTTCCCCCTATTTTGTATTTAATTGTACTCCAACTGTCTTCATCATTGTGAAACTGTAACACAACAAATGTTGAGGATACCTTAAACAGCACTCACAGCATTAATAATCTGGAAACCTATTTTGTTATACTGTGATGGAGTAGAATTAATAGAATGAATGTTACCTAAAAAACCTGCTACATCTGAATCAATGCCAAAGTATCTGGGCTTCTCTAATAGAAAATCAAGGATCCCCAAAAGTGCCAAGTAAATGTGGTCTTCAATACTCAAAGAAGACGAAGAACATTTACTCAGAAAACACAGTGACATTTGGTGACTTGTAATTAATATCCCATTAATATCAGATATTAATAGTTTTATGTGTGCTATAAAAGTCCAAGAAGACTGTATGTTATTGTGTTATTATTAAACCTGTATACATTTGTTCAGAATTGCTTCTATATATTTATATATATATATATTCTTGCTGACATCATCATGAATGTACCTTTTTGGTGTAGTTTAGTGTAAGTGCCACTAACTGTGAGCTCCTGCTTTTAAACTTCATGATTTATATTTGTGTGACATTTCACATGAGTTGCAATGTGATGTGATTGGAGAGTGATTAAATAAATTAAATTAGCTTACTACTTTTATTACATTACTACATGTTATCAGAAGAAAATGTCCTTATACTTTTAATTATGTATTTCTAATGCACATCACCCATGTATTTATTATTCTTCTCTTCTTATCCCTAATGTGCCAATCACAGACTTTAGCTGTAAAATAGTCAAAAATGTCAAACTTTATTGACATTTTAAGCCAACAGAAAGAATATTGAACATTAAAGCATCACAATGAAAAAAGATATATCATGATATGGCTTCACTTTTAACAAGTCTGCAAATTCACCATGGCAGAATAATAGCCATGGCGTTATATAATATTATGTAAGAAGATAAATCTGCATTAAAAAAGTCAATTAATAAATATATAAGGACAAAATAAAAGGAGTAAGAGTTTTTTTTTTTCTATATTACAATATATGAAGCATTCTTGTGGTATAGGTTACTAATTGTATGGACGCATTTTTTAATGATTGAATAGAATCAAAGTACTTATTTTCTCAAAGGTTCAAATGATGGACGGGACCATGAGAACTTGGTATTTCCCAAATAAAATAAATAATACAACTGTCAAACTCAATGGAGGACTGTCTGAAGTGCCAGTTACATTTTAAGCTTCAGAGGTCATTAGTCACATGATAGTCTTCATTTCACTACAAGGCTGCACATATTTATTTTATTTAGTTTTCATTTAGCTGACGATTTTTATCCAAAGTGACTTACAATTGCTATATATGTCAGAGGTCACACGCCTCTGGGTTAAGTGTCTTGCTCATACACACATTGGTAAATGTGTAGTGGGAATTGAACCCTGGTTCTCCCACTCCAAAAGAATATGTCTTCTCCACTGCTCCATCAACACCAATCAAGCAAACTGCAGCTAACCTTAGCTAAGCTAGTCACCTCACCAATCACTGCTACTAGCTCACACACCTGAAGCAACACCTGTCTACGGTCCACTGGTTGTTGGTGCTGCTGCTGCTGCTGAACCGCTTTCTGTGGAGTGCAGCTGAGGTTTAGGCCACTCCCCATAAAAAAATGTGTTATTTCCAATAGTACAAATTTTGGTTAGCTAGCTAGCAAGCTTGATCACTGAGGTGACAGGAGTGAAGCAGACACACAAGACCACAACCCTTCTATGCCAATGTTAGGACAGGTAGATGGTGATATTTCCCCTGTAATAGAACCTTTGCTCCATTGATTTGCCGTTCCAGGAATAGACTGAGTGGAAATAAAAGAAAATTAAAGTTATTATATAAACCCAAAAGATTCAGGGTTTTTAATAACACATTCAGGGCTGGAGCCCCAGAACCCCCCCCCCCCCTTCGCTCCGCCGTTGAGGAGGATCCTTTCAGTGACTGCAGGTCCTGGCAGTGCGTATAGGCTACTGTAGAGATAATCCAGAGATAAATAGAAACTATGACTGCTGAAGTAGCGAAATTAGTCCTTTGTTCGCCATCATGGAGGTGGCGGAATAAACAGATGAAACTTTCTGTGACACTCACATCTACAAACAGTCCAAACGTCTGTTAATGTAGGCCTACTACTCCGCCTCCAGTCTGAATATCTCAAGTATTTACAGCCTCAAATATATTACAATTTATTGGTTACAATATTCTACTGAATATCAAATCATTACTTATTTATTATCTATAACTATCATTGCTATACATAACCACTACGCTATCCTAATGTGCAATAATATAAAATGTCATGTTCTTATACTATGCCCTACTGTATTCATCCATTGTATTCTGTTATCTTATTACATATTTACATATGTTGCATAGGTCTAAACATATATATATATATATATATATATATATATATATATATATATATATATATATATATATATCGTATTGTTGATATTAAATGTATTCCATTTTTCATAATATGCTTGATATATTCATTGTGCATACAAGCTCATATACATTCTGAATACACTGTACTTACTATGGCGTTTCAATTTATTTTTATTATCATTCACAATTATAAGAGATGTGATTTTTAAAGGACTTTTATTATTATTATTTGTAAGGGACCAAGTATAATTAAACATGGGCAACATGTAGCCATTTCATATAGTGTACCAGAGCCTGTATAACTTGATGATAAGTGATAATTAATGTGATGATTTTTCTACATGAACATGATTTTCTATATAACAAAAACACATTTTTGTATTATAAAGGTGCGTAAAAAACCCCTGAAGGTTTATTGAAATTTCACACCTGTCACCTGTATACCAACTTCCTGCTTTTGGTGTTCTTCCGCCTCACCTAAGGGTCTATATTCCGTCTCTGTCTGCTGGCGGACGGATCCGTTCTCCAGCCTGCGCGACGAACTGTGAAAACACCGAAAACAACAGCTGCTTTTCCACAATGTTGCTCCATCAAAGGATAAAACTTTGGTACAGGTGAGCTTGATAAAGTCGTTTTGTTAGACTTGATCTTTGAGTATTAGGCTCTATGTTTCATTTCACAACACGTTATCTTTTAGAGAAGGATACAGGTGATGCTCCTCATCACCTGTCGGGGCGTGTTAACCTCCAGTGGAGGACTAAAGTAAGCTAGCGGCTCTATTTATCGTGGCACAAATGACAGCATACGGTGTTTATTTTCTTATATTTCCAGATTAAGACGAATGTAATGGAAAGCGAAAAACAAACTACTGAGAGAGAGACACCGCCTCAGCACTGGAGAAGCTGCAAGTTGATTATTGACCCTGCATTGACAAAAGGACTGTATAAAGTGTACCGTTATGATGGACAATACTTTAACATACCCGTGAGCATTTTTAAATATATGTTTATTGTCTCTGTCTTAAATCTACCTGTCAGTATTCACCATAGTTTCCTACTAAAATGTAGTATCAAACTAGTATAATGTAATAAACACATGTTTTCCATTATTATGATGTTGTTTAATACCTCCACAGGTAGAGGACTTAGGTCTGTTTCCTGTGGATACAGTCAGAGATCCCCGCATCTGCCGTCTGTGGAGCAAATGCAACAAGACTGACCTTTTGGTTCCTAAATTTAAGGTAATGTTAAGGTAATCTTTACCAGTGGTGAAGGATCCTTTGCTGAATTAAAAGTACTAATATACACTGTAAACATGCCCCTCTACAAAAGTACTGCATGCTAGTTTAGCAAAAGTAGGCCTATAGTATAACCAGGCCATGGCCAGTGTGACTGATATATGATTAGATCTTTATTACTCATGCATTATTGTGTAAGCAGCTAATTTTCAACTATTTTATATAGGGCTGCATCTAAAAATTGGGTGATGGATTAATCAGCTGATGATTAAACAAGTGATATTTTGTTTCTTAAAACTTTACTAAACTGTGAGAAATGGTCATCACAATTGCACTGAACAAAAGTGACACAGTGGACTAATGGTCAGACCTCAAACGTGTTCAGTTTACTGTAATTTAAGACCAAAAACACAGCATTTTCCAGAAGCTGGAGCCATGAAAGGACTTTTTTCATAAAAAGATTACCAACGATTAATCATTTATGAAAATATTCTTAATTTTCTGTCAGTCGACTAATCATTACATTTATTTAACTGAAGCAAATTGCAATTGCTATATAGGCCAATGTTAGAGGTCGCACGCCTCTTGATCAACTAGTATCTTGCTCAGGGACCCATTGGTAATGTGGCGCAGTAGAAATCGAACCCCGGTCTCACACACCAAAGGCATGGGTCTTATCCACTGCACCACCTTAATTGCCATTGCCACCTCTAATCAGCAAATCATTCTACTCTAATTTTCTTTTGTTGGGTTGGTTGGTTTAATCTGGAACAGTGCATCATAAAGTAAAAAATTTACTTTGAATTTGTACCATCGCTGATCTTTATAATTACCATCACATCAATAATATCCATGCTAATAATAATAATTGTTGTTGTTGTTTACCTATATCTTTTCAGGTTGATGAGTGGTATGTTGGCCCTGTTCCTCCCAAAGAAGTGACATTTTCCAGGTTGAATGACAATGTAAGGGAAGCGTTCTTGACTAATATGTGCAATAAATATGGGAACACCGAAGAAGTGGAAATATTTTACAATCCTAAGAACAAGAAGCATTTAGGGATTGCAAAGGTCGTCTTCGACACTGTGAGGGCTGCAAAAGACGCTGTTCAGCACCTCCATCAGACTTCAGTGATGGGGAATGTTATTCACGTGGAAATTGATCCTAAAGGTAATGCTGATTTTAGGAATGCTACACGTTATTATGTGTTGAAAGTATAAATGTTACTCTTGTTATATTGAAATAATTGAAACGTGCGACCTTCTCAGGTGAAAACAGGGCGCGACATCTCCAGTTCCTCTTACGTGGACTTTATACTCCTTGGTCAGTGGGCAGCAGAGAACGAGCTCTTCAAAGCTTAATCGACAATTTGCTGGTAAATGTTTTAAAGCTCCTTAATCAATCATAATATATATTACCCGGCTGTTAAATTTATGCTTTTAAAGGATAATATTTCTCAGTTGTTATCTTGTTTTCTCTGAATTATCCATCTCTTACAGGGCCGCTCAGCCACACAGCGACAGGGGAGTATCTCCAGCCCCATCAGCATCGCCACGCCCCTCTCTCTGGACACAGCCTACTCCAGTATTTGGCAGGATACACCTTGCAGCTTTGGGCTTACACCGCGTTCTCAGGGAACCCCCCGCACTCCCTGCTTGTCTGCGACTCCTCTCTCCCAGGACTCTTGCTACTCTAGTCTTCAGGCAACTCCAGTCCTCCAGGGGGAGCCCTCCACCCATAGTGTTCACAAAGCTTTAAGACGAGAGCTCTTCCATCGTAAACCAGCGAGGTATCACAGGGGATCTGGCGATGCCTCAGATGTCAACCTAATTTTGAAGCATTGCCAACAACAGCCACCACACCTCCTGTCTACCCAAATACAAACTAGCAGTCAGCAGCTTGCGCTGTGGGGTCTTAATGCACAATCCCCTACTAACAGTAACACAGAGGCTTCCTTTAACTTTGCCTCTCCTTGTCAGGAGTCCAGAGACGATGTTCCCGATACCTCGAAGGCTTTACATCTAAACTGCAACTCTTTGAATATCCTGAGCATTAATTTCACAGATGACCAGCAGACAGCAGCATCCTCTCCACCTGATGGCCATGCATGCATAACAGACTTATCTTCACCTGGTTTTAACTGTTCCTCCAGCAGCCCCCAGCCAGAGGTCGAGAGTTTGGATTCCCGCATTGAAAGTTTGCTGATAAACAGTCAGAGAACTGACCCCTCATATGTTGATAGAAAGACTTTGGAGGCTGATGTACACTCTCAGGACAGCCCAACTTCACCTTGCTCAGCTAATGCCTCCTTTCTCTCAGAGGACTCACTTGTTTATACTCTGACTTCTTGTGGATCCTTCCCAACCAGCCACCGGGCCTCCAACAGTGATGTGGTGGATGTCAGTCAAAGATCGCTTGTTGAAAGTGAAGAGGATGAAACTATTCAAGCTGTTTCGTTTCTAACGAGAAACTGCCAGTCTCCCACTCCATCTGATTTCACACATTTTGAAAGGAGGGCTCATTTAAACAACGAGAAAGTTGCAGAAAGGTCCCAGTTATTGTGTCCAACGGTAAATCCTCTATCTCTACATACATCAGAAAGACAATAACAGTATTAGTTATTATGTTGTTATCTATGTAAAAGTATTTATGTTGTTGTAAAGCTGTCTTTTAGTTTATTATTATATTTTCTGTCTTACTCAGGATCATCAAGCAGCAAATGAGGATAAGGAGCACCCAACAAAAGACATCTCCTCTCTTCCCCAGCCTCCGTCCTATTCTTCTCTCAGTAGCACCACTCGGCCTCTTACTCCTCATGCCATTGGATCTGGAAGTGCCCCTCAATCAGTCACCCCTTTCCCTTTCCCCATTCCTCCCTTCCCCCCATCTCTCCCACCTGTCCCACCTCGCCTGCCAAATGGCACCATCCCAATCCCACCTCCAGGCTGGATCCCACCTCCGGGCCATCACACCCGCATCCCCATTCCACCTCCCCCTATCCCACCTCCTCCTTCTATTCTCCCCCCACCAACTTTTCTTGGACCCCCCCCACCTTTGATGGTGCCGCCTTCTGTTCCACCTCCTGTGCACACGTACCGCTTACCCATGCATCGTGCAGGCCCGTTGGATAAGGGGAATCCTCCAAGGCATGGCAGTGCACCTTTACCATTCCCTCGACCACCCTGGCTCGCTCCACCTTTTCCCAGGTTTAACCCCTTTGTGCCGCCACCAGGCTACCCACTTGTGCGTGAAAACCCTCATAAGCTCACAGTAGAAAAAGTTTTAGAAGTCATCATGGATGAACTGAGGTCAATCATTAAGAAGGACATTACACGCAGAATGATTGAAGGGATCGCTTTCAAGGCATTTGAGGACTGGTGGGACTGTCAAGAGAAGAAAACAAGGGTAAGTTCTTTACACCCTAAATTATCTCATCAAGGAATCAGTGAAATCACATGAGTGAGGAAAACATGTTTTCTGTGCCCTAGAACATTTTGTAGCCGGTATGTTCATTATTGTTGTTTTATTCATTAGATGCAAGTACCTCCTTTGAAAAGTGGAGCAGCAAGTGTGGAAGAGAAGACCAAAGTAATGAATCCCCTCAGTCACATTAGTGGCCATGGCAAAAAACCTCCACTGCCTTCCTTCAGGGTAAACCATTCTGCTCACTCTAATATGAAACACACCGGCATTTGACCTGTGAGTGATAACTTAATGTAATGTAAAATAACTTATTGTTTACAGGTAAAAAGGAAAAAATCCAATGATGCTGCTACATCAGAAGATATAGAAAATGTGTTGTGTCCAACTCATGAAACTTCTGGTCAGTGCGTTTAATGCAATTAACCCTCATTTGCTAAATTTGAACTCAGCTGTCTATACTAGACTGTAGCTTGACCAACTGTGTTGCTCTCTTTCCATGTGGTTTTAGATGTGAAACAGGGGGATGACATATTTAAATCTGCATCTGGCAGAGCCAAACGCAGACATGCAAGACCACATGTGCTTGACAGTGATGATGAGGATGATGATGATGATGATGATGAAGGGAACAAAGAAGATAATACCCTTCAAGATGAAGGAAAAATGTCAGACAAAGTGAAGAAAATTGTGCCAGTTGATAATGACCCTCAAAAAATCCTGGTAAATTTTGCATGAAAAGTTAATTTGGCCTGTAGTTTGAAATTGCAGTGTGGTGCCGCTATTTTTCTTTTCAGTTTTTAAATGAAAACTCTGACTTCAAGATTATTTAACCATGTCTTGAAATAAATCATTCATACATGTATTCCCATAAAAAGATCATAATCATCTGTGGTGGGTTGCAACAATTTGAAAATGGTTGGCTTTTCCAGAATCTATACAAAATATTAATATGATAAACTTTCTGTATACTGAAAGTATGAAATTCTTAAGCCTTCATAATATAACTTTATTGTCACTCTTTATTAGTGTGACAGAGAAGACCACGATGATGGGGACGACAGTAATCATCCTGAAGCACAAAAACAAACAGTGGATGAAGATGCTGTCATCTTCCAAGCTGGTGACGTAGTGCAGTGCTTAGACAGCGGTACGTAAAAAAGATCATACAGTCGCAACACAGTTAGTGAGTTGAACACAATCACATACCTATGAGTTTTGTTTCTTCCTTCTGTTATAGAGAGTTTTTCAGAGAGCAGCTCCTCAGAGGAAAGCGAGTCATCGTCAGACATGGACTCCTCTGACTCGTTCTCCTCAGGGAGCTTTGAGGACTCGTCCTACTCTGACCTCAGTCCTGAAGATGAAGGCATGGAGGAGGATGGCGAGGACGACAGGAGTTGCGAGTGTATAGTCATATCGTCAGATGAAGAGTCGATGGAGCTTGAGCCACCGGTCACCCCTTCCGCCCCGCTAACCCCTGGTGCTCAGCTGGAGCTGGGCCTTCAGGACTGGTCAGATCCATTTCATAGGGAGGAAACCGAGGACAATCAGTACTCATGCTGTCAACAAGACACCTGTGGCTTGGACGCCACGATGGAGCTCCAAACCATTGAACCCCAGGACCATCTACTGCCCCTGTCACCTATAGGACTTCCAGGTTATATACCCAGCATGCTGTGTAACAGTAGACGGAAATAGTTTACCGCATTAGGAAATTGTATGCTGAATTAGCATTCAAAAGATTTCCCAATTTTCTGGCCCCTTATGGGGATACAATCTACAATAAAAGCTTTTACAGATGTTGTTTGACATTTTATGTATTTCACCTTCACATAGGTTTAAGGCAGGTATAATGCAGGTATAGTGTTTTTCATGTTCAGTATAGGACAGAAATTTTCACTTAATGATGATGGCCTTTGATAAAAAAAGTCAAGAGGATCAACGTTCCATGGACCTTAAATACATCCATCCATCCATCATCAACTGCTTATCCTGCGTACAGGGGGGTCTCGCGGGGGGCTGGAGCCAATCCCAGCTTACACTGGGCAAAAGTCACCAGTCCATCGCAGTGGACCTTAAATATCTGTAGCAAATTTCATGGCAATCCATTTAATAGTCAAGATATTTTAATCTGAATTCATTCTCTTGAGGATAATGAATTAATCTACAAAAGTTCATGGCAATCTAATAGTTGTTGCAACATTTCGGAGTGGACCTAAGTGGTGGACCAACTGTCTGACATTGCCATCCTTCGAGCTGTACCGCTAGCATAAATAAAAAGGATGTAAATTGTGTGAACAATGGAACAACAGTATTAATAGGATGAGAAAATGTGAATTTCTAATATTTTCTTGTGATTTATCTGTGCAGCAGTGGAGCCAGACCTTGACATAGAGATGGAGAGCCCTGAATGGAGGGTGGACTCCCTCGAGAACATAGAAAACCTGAGGCCTCTCACTCCCACTGGCTGCTTGATGGATAGTGACCCTGACCTTCTGATGAGAAGCAAACCAACATCCCCAACTGTGGAGGAGGTGGAACGACCACAAACACCCGGCAAAGGCATAGTGGTTGAACTGGAAAGCGAGGACTCTGTCGATGAAGTCCTCTCCCTCTCTCCAACAAGCACTGAGCTCGTTCTAGCTCCTTCTGGTCCCCTGGGTTTATGCCCCTCATACCAGGACATGCCCAAAACTCCTGGTAGAGAGGATAGAAGTGATTGGACTCAGTACAGCTCTGGGAGAGCTCCAGCAACACCAGGCAGAGAGACGACCATGTCAGAAGGTAGCATAGTGGTGTGCACAAATATTAGCAGCCCACCTCTTGTGCCGTGCCTGTCTAGAAATCCATACATCACAGCCCCAAAGACTCCTGGAAGAGATATCATTCTTCCCCGAAGAGCCATAGTCCACAGGAGGAAAATGCAAACGGTGACCTCCTTACAGCCCCTGTTATGTGATTCTCTCAGAGGTTCTCCCATCTCAGTGTCTTCTCCATGCAGCGAGTCTGAGTCCTCATCAGATTCTGCTGATGGGAGGGGCATGTGGATCAGTTCAGGTGTGAGAATGAAGCCCTTGCAGGGACTGGAGAATATGCCCGGGCTTCTTGACGAGGAGAATAGGAGAGAGACAGAGAAATCCTTATTGAGGAGAAAACAGCTGAGGAGGCTAAAGAGGAGGTGGAGAATCCATCGTCGGCAGAGATCATTTAAAAGAATCCCAGGATCTCACTCCTCTCACAGTCGTCCTCACAGGTGGCGTTCGCTCAGTGAGGAGCGGAGGATACTTCACAGGGTTTGGAAGGAGGGCCTGGATGGAGAAGATGCACGGCTGCTGCAGTGCACATTTGAAAGGCTGCAAGAGCAGGATAATAGCTTTGGTTGGCTCAGTGACACCCTGTGGATTCCTCACCCTCATATCCTTTTTTAGTTTCATGTTCAAGTTAAATTAGATCAAAGTGAGTTTACAGTAAGAGTACCTGATAATGTACCAATAGGTGGGATTATCTCATAGGTTGTGCTGTACAATGCATAAATGACTGAGATTAACTCCAAAATGTACAAATTGCATTTAAATCCTGATTTTAAAAAAAAGGCTTAAATAATGTTGTAGTTAAGTATCACGTGCATGGCACTGTTGTGGATTTCTCGAAGGGTTTGCTTTTCAAACATCCATTTACACATAAATGATGAATTCAGATCAATCATCTTTGATACACAGTACTGTATATTATCCTCTGTGCTTGACATCCTCAACTGCTGCTCACTGACTAAAGTCCTCACAGAGACAAGCGAGGAACACAAATGCTGGCAGCCACGCCACAGGACCGGCTCTGCTCGCAGTGAAGGTTTCTACAAAATCAGCAGGAAAGATAAAATTAAATACCTCAACAACAAAAACCTGACCGCTGAGCTTCCATCTACAAGTACTCAGGTATCAAAGAGGAGAAATTAAGATGCTCACAGTGCCCAGTTTATTCCATTCTTGTGTTTAATGTCAGCATATATTTCAGCAGGGAATAAACATCCCTGCCCAGCAGCCAATTTCACTGCGTGCCGGATCTGACTTCAGGTCTGAACAGCGTCGCCTGCTGTCCTCTTTCAGCTGTGATAGTGACCTGGTCAAGTTCAACCAGCTGAAGGTAAGTAAGGAACAGTGGCGGATAGTGCATTTTCATCCGGGGTGCGGGGGGTGGCTGCTGTACCACAATTCAAGTAAACATGTACTAAGGGATCTCACAGGTGTATTTAAGCAAAATAGTAGTTTTTATGCCTAAACCTAACCAAGCTGAAAGTTTCACAACATTAACCACATTTTAGAAATATTTTAGTTAGGCTTAGGAAAAAATCATGGTTTGGGTTGAAACAATAAGTCAACGTTAACTTTCGGGGTCACACAAGAACCAAACCCCAATGTCCCAAGTAAAAGTTCTGTGTCTGACCCATTCATCCGCCATTCGGCCCATTCTTCTTAAAGCATGTGTGGCATAAAGCTTTTAGAAAGCTTTTCCTTAGTTGCTCATAAATTTATCCTGATTACTTCAACGACTAAATGGTATTTTTCTCTATGACACAATCGAGTTATTCCTCTTTGTCGATGTAACGTAAGTGGTGCAGCCTCTCGTAGTGTAGGAATAATCGGAAAATTGAATGCACCACGTTATGTATGAAGAAAATATGCTGGTGTAAATGTCTCATTTTGTCATGAAACTCTTCATATCTTCAGTTCCGAAAGAAGAGGATTCGTTTCAGCCGGAGTCACATCCATGAGTGGGGCCTGTTTGCAATGGAGCCCATAGCAGCAGATGAGATGGTGATTGAGTATGTGGGCCAAATCATCAGACAGGTGAGACTGACGCACACTAATGTCTAGGCTTGGAGATACATTGAAAATGCACCCACTATCAAGCAAGCTGATTTTCCCATTGTTGTTTCTGCCGGTGTTGCCAGTCACCTACAGGGACCCTCTTGTTGTTCCGGGTGCTTTCCAGGAGTGTGAGTGAAGTAATAGTGATAAACAACACTCTCTCACGCATAGGCGTATATTGTTTCTTTCTCCTTAGGTCATTGCTGACATGAGGGAGCAGCGATACGAGGAGGAGGGCATTGGAAGCAGCTATTTGTTCCGTGTTGATCAGGACACCATCATCGATGCTACTAAATGTGGGAACTTGGCCAGGTTTATCAACCACAGCTGCAGTGTGAGTAAGAGCTGGCGGTGCTGTGGTTGGAGATTGAAGTGATTCTGAATGATTTGTTTAGTAGGATCCTTAATGCAAAATAACTTTTTTTGTCTTGCAGCCTAACTGCTACGCAAAGATCATCACTGTGGAGTCTCAGAAGAAGATAGTGATATACTCCCGGCAGCCGATAAGCATCGATGAAGAGATCACATACGACTACAAGTTCCCCATTGAGGAAACAAAGATTCCTTGTTTGTGTGGAGCAGATAGCTGCCGGGGCTCCCTGAACTAATCGCTAATTAAGTGTCCTTATTATGTCAAGAGCCAAAGTTGCCTGAGGTACTATTCAATATAAACACCTACCCTGAAGATGTGTCAAGAAAGCCATTTAATACTATTTATAACCATACAGTCTGTAACTGCCTGGAGGCTTTGCAGGAGCTCATAAAAGACTGCTGCTCAGTGAATAATGATTTTTATAAACTGTCCTAAAAAGCACTTAAGACAAGAATAGGACCAAACACTTGGAACTTTTTTTAATCAAGGTCTGGCAAATGTTAATATACCACCTGCAGGCTCTGGTAAAACATTACAAAAGCAACATTACAAAAACACTATCTTTACATTATATTTTGTGAACATATGGCAAGTAACCACCGTTTCACACATTGCCATTGTTGTCTCTTTACCACATGTAGGGTAAAATGGGCACCCTGTTACAATGAAATGTCTGTTGACCTAATTGTCCAAATGATAACAAAAGTGTACAGTTAAATGTTTTCATTTATGAGAGCTTAAATGGTGTTTTGCTTGAGTCAAGCTTGTAACAAAACCATTGGTTTTCTTGTTAACATTTTTATTAAAAGAATGTGTTGCATTATGAATGTTAAAGCTGGGATGTGTCTTATAATAAAAACAAAGGTCTACAAACACAGAACTTCATTAAGACTCTTAAAAATAAAAATAAAAAGGGATAAAGACGCAGTTGAAAATGTTTTTATTAATACAGTTACACTGATTAAGAGCAGTTGTTAGGAGCTGCTGATGTGGTCCAGATGTTAGGAGCAGCTGATAATTATTAAGACTTTCTATAACTGTGAGGCAGTTATAATGCTGGCAATCACATGTTCTTTGAATCTCCATTTAGTGTCAGGATAGTCAGATTTCCTCTAGCATGCTGGTCTCCTTCAATGGCTTCAAAAAGAGCCTTGAAGTTTCCTGCGCCAAAGCCCTGTGGATAAAGCATGTATTTAAGTTACCGTAATTGGCAGCAAACTTCATCTATCCTACTATTCGTAGCATATTGAGACTTAGCTTATGCTGTATACAGAAATTCCTCTTGAGAAAGTTGTCGTCTATCCGGTGGCGCCCTCACCTGGTGGTTATGCCTTTGAATGACTTCCAAGAACACAGTGGGCCGATCCTGGACTGGCTTGGTGAAGATCTGAAGTAAATAGCCATTGTCGTCGTAGTCCACCAAGATCTTCAGCTCCTGGATATGAGTAAGATCACGAGATTACATCCGTCTATTATAATGACTTTTTTTCCATGCGGAATAGTTGACTCTTTTGTCATTTTGTAAGCCTACACATTACAGAAGTCTTTGTGAATTATGTTCTAAAAGTAAGCGCAGTGCTCTTCTGAAGTGGTTACTAGATATGGACACAGATATAATCTTGGCTTTGACAAAACCTATAAAAACATGAGCTTAATTACTTCAAATTTGCTAAAATATGATAGAATATCTTCTATCATATCTAGTTCTTACCTGCAGGACATCCAGGTCCTCTGAGATCTTGATCTTTGAGTGTTTCAAGTTCTCCTTCAGCTTGTCGTAGTAGGTGTCTGGCACAGACATAAACTCCATCCCACGCTCCTTCAGGTTACGAATCTGCAAATAAAAGATTCATCTGAGCATCATTGTTGCTGCTTTTGGGACACATCCACATACATACAGAATGTTTTGTAGACTTACTGCAGCAATGATATCTGATGTGTTCATGGCTATATGCTGCACTCCTGGACCTCCATAGTACTCCACATACTCCTGTAAGTGGAAATGTAGGGAAAGGATACAAGTTTTTTTACCATTATTGCACAGGTTAATTCATTTGTAGTCCACATATTTGTGTGGAGTGTAAAGAACATGCCTGGATCTGAGATTTCCTCTTCCCCATGGCAGGCTCATTGATGGGCATCTTCACGGTCTCCTCGTAGTTTGCCACAACAATGGAGCGCAGGGCACTAAACTCCGTCTGCAGCTGCTTGTCATCCACTGACCAGAAGCGGTGAAAGAGAAGGTTTCTTTGATACCTGTTAGATCATGAACCAGAGGTCAAGAGCCACACTGGCGTAAGTACAAACATCATGGTGGGTCGAACGCTCTAACAAACTCTATGTTAAATACTTGAAATGCTTAGTGTGCTTTTCACTATTGTCTGGAATTGGTTCTACCATAAAATTGCAGCCTGCTAAACAAGAATGAGTGACTTTTTGATTTACGAGCCAGCTTCATGAGGTTCTTAACATCTAAAAACCTCCAGTCTGTGTTACACCCCTCTTTCCAGGATCAGCCAATGAGCTCACTCATTTGGGGAACTGCCTTTTCATGCCAATACTAGGGGGTAAAAAACAAGAACCAGATGTAGGGAGCCACTTAAGAAAACGCAAAGTCATGCTGATCCCTGACTCGTGCCAAACAGGAAGAGTTATGGAAGAATCAGACACATTGTAGATCACATCCTAATAATAGACCTGAGGAGCAGATATGTTGTTATCACATGTTTCTCTACAAAAGAAAACAGCCATACCATTCCACCACTGGAACCATCTCATCATCTGGCTGGTTTCCCACAACGTGATCAATGAAGTTCAGTTTTCCACTTGGTCTGCATGGAAACGAAAGCACAGAAATGAACTGTCCATTAGCTGTCATTCTGACTTCTTCTGTCGTCTTATAAATGTTATAATAACTTATGAACTCTCACAGTTTGGCCAATAAAGGGTCCTTGAACAGAGAGGGATGGAAGCCCGGCAGAAACAGCCCAGTGTATCCTGTCCTCTCCACAAACGTGTGTGTGGTGTCACCATACTGCAGCAAACAAAAGCAAGTCTACAATTCTTGCATTTGTTTTTAGGACATTTTCAACTTCTTTAATGTGCTAAATTGAAATAGTGACTAAAATGTTCAGTGTAAATTAATAGTATAGTGGCTCATCTTACCGTTTGAAGCACAGCCAGCCTGACTTTACCATACTTGTCCTCCAGGGTGTAGGGCTCCTTTACAATAACTGCACCTCGCTCTCGGGCTTTCTGTGGAGGATGATACATAAGTGCATTATTAGTATAAGTAAAGTACCAGCAGTTAAATGTAACCTCAAAAGTGACTTTTGTATTGTGTGCTGTGAATACACCTCTAAATTAAAAGCTGTGGTAGTACCTGCACAAGGAAGTCACAGTCCTGCACTGTAAATGCAATATCCTTCACTCCATCCCCATGCTTGACTAAATGACTTCCCATCTCTGAGGAAAGATGAGAACATGTTCTTTAGCCACACAGAGTCAACAATTCTTTTAATATTATATTTAGTAACACCCTCAGTTTTCCTAGTCTTTTTGCAAGTTATACTTATTGACTTTTGCCAAAAATATAGGAATAACTGGTTAACAGTAATATCTCTGTGATGTACTCTAGTCTTGTACACACTAAAATTGATTGTTTGGAGTTTATTGGAGAAATTCTTTCTTTTTCAGTTGATTTGATTGATTATAAGGGTTTAACTATTGAGCTGTTCTGCCATCAGGCCATTTAAGGATTCAAAATGTATTTGTTTTATTTGGACACCTCAAGAGAGTTAAGTAATTTTCAGAATAACAGAAAGGTGAGATAAAATCATTAAATGTAAGTACAATTAATATAAATTCAGTGGCCTCCTTTGTCTGACTTCCTGAATAGTGTAACATATTTTTAAAAACTAATTGTGAATGCCAGATAAACTGTACTAAACTAAAGTCCACATAGAACTTAATTATGACATGTTTTCAAAAACACAAATAAGTAAAGCAACAATGACCCTAATGAGAAAACAGCTCCTGAATAAATGTTGTACCTTCGTTTCCAGGATTGAGGGCAGATGCGAACACATAAATGATCTGTCAAACACAAAGTAAAAACATTAACATAATGAAAACAACTCCCACCACCATTAACAACCATGCATAAAACTACCAGTAACTTATTGAAAGTTAGTGTTAACAATCCAAATTGCTCAAGAAAACTAAAAGTCAAACCTGCTCAGAACAGTGTGTAATTTCTTTTTACTTGCACTGTTGATCACTGTCTTCTTACCTTGTCTTGTTTGACTGCATGGGACACCACTTCGCGACTGCCTGTCTCCAAACCCTGGTAAGCCAAAGGCTCAAATCCCAGCTTGTTACAGTAATATGATGCAGCCTGTTGAGGACAATGGTTTTAACAGAAAATCATAGGGAAGTCTTTTATTTTGTGTGACAGTGACCTGGAATTGGACATGATTGCAACAGGTTTAGCCTTAAACTTTCTGATAGTGCCATCTCCTGGTGATTAGTGAGGTTTGACTCAGTTTGTGCTGTGTGAAATGTAGTATGTGGTCTGCTGTGGTTTTACATGCTGTGTCCCCCTCCACCCCTCAGGAGGACCAATAGCCTTGCTGAGTATATTGTGTACCCCTCCATCTGTGAAAAACATTTGTCAGAAAAAAAACTGCACCCCCCAGATATGAGCTAACTTACCTGTTTTGCATTTCCAACCCAGAATGTTAAGTGATCAAAGCAGAGAAACTTGCCCTGCTCATGCTAAAGACAAGAGGAAAATCATCATTTAAATAAATGAATCACTGCTGAAACATACATTTTTAAGCTTTTTGGTAATTTGTCGTAATTAGTTAAAACATATTAGAGTGCGGAAAGACAATCTGTAGCTAAATTAATACAAATGCTGGTTTAGTTGCATTAAAAGTCTGGTTTGAGTGTCTATCTGCGTGATAACGGCATCATTACTTTATAACCTCCGCTTAGTAGTACACATGTGATTAGGTTACCTACCTTTTCGCCTTTGTCTGTGTATGTTGTCTGTAATCAAAAAAGTATTTCAGTGAAACATAACGTCTCCGTCACAGGTAACAATAGAAAGAAGCCATATGAAGTTATTCAACAGTGAATGGTAACTCACCATTTTGCTCCCGGTGATCTGACCTGACTGTCAGAATGAAATCTACAATGAACTTCTGAATTTAAAAGCTGAGAAGGAAGTTTCTCCACACCCACCGGTGAGGAGGAGGAGGAGGAGGAGGAGGAGGAGGAGGAGGAGGAGGAGGAGAAGTGATGCTTGGTGCAATTTTGCTGTTATATAATGATTACTTGTGAAAGCATGTCAACCTTCCACAGGTCTGATTAAACCTCACCATCACTTAGTTCACTGTCAGTTCGATGCTACTGAATATGACGCTTACAATAAATATCATATCAAGAAATAGAACACATTTTATTTTGCAAATTAAGAACAACTCTTAATGACCGAGTTCTTTTTCATAGCTTGCCTGCATCATAACACATCTGCACTTAGATTTAGTCTTGAATGCATCCAAATTTTGTTATTCTATGTGAAGGGACAAAGAAAA